CTTGATTGTCACGCTGTCCGATGTTTGTGTTGGAATAATCAAATAACCTAATTTAAATAATAAATGACTAACATTGTTCTATGCAAATTTATTTGGACTATAAAATGATAACAAAAATTGCTCAGATTTATACTGCGGTAATCCATGTAAAAAACGTATTGTTATCTCTGTTCTATCTATTGGAAATAATGAGAAAGAAAAGAGATGACAATATTTTTTGTTACGCGTATTTTGGCTTATACTAAAAACAATCATCAAAACATTTTTATCTTTTCTGTAAAATGAAATATAACTTATAACTTCAAGTCATCTAATAACACGAGTAAATGTCTAGAACGAGGAAATCTCATACGTTTCTTGACGCTCGTCTTACAGAGTAAAAACCCGTTGTAGCAAAGTGACGGTTCCGTGTATCGTGTCAGCTTGAAACATTTTAATCTACGTTATCTGAACTATATTTGTTACTAAGATATATTCACGTGTAATATGACTATGTACTACATAATATACATTAATAGTTATGTACAAAATATATATTTTACATGTGTACACAATTTTAAACTATTCAAATGTTAATGAAAATCCATTGATATGATTTTATGGGGAATACTTAACGGAATTTTTACTAACAAACTTTAACACGTTCTCGTTAATGACTGAGGCCTGACTGGTTGAAATTCAAATTTTCGACAAACAGAATCGTAAATAGGCGTAATAATCATAGTAAATACACAAGTATTTACCAAATGTACAGGGCTTTAAATAAAAAAGCCCTTGTTTGCAGAAAACCGTGTTAATATTAGAACATGAATAACAGAAAGACATAGAAAACTGATTTGACATTACGAAATTCAAAAGTTTAATTTCTTCTTTTTCCTTTGATTTAATGGCAGCTATAGTGTAAAAACTCCTTGAACAAATATCATCAATTGTAATTTATTCATCGTACAACGTCAGAGATTTATGGTCTTATAATGTGAAAGTACGATGACTGAGACCACGAAAGTATGGAGTTAATGTACGGAACGGAAACTATATAAATCTTAACAGGATTTAAGTGATGTACTATATCACTTATGTAACTTTGAATATAAGTTACTAGAGAATTATAAAACAAGCTGTTATCAGCGACTTTGCTTGAAATTGATTATCAAAAAAAACTTGGTTATTCGCTATTCCAGAATATAAAATAACTATATCGCAACTTGCATCCAAATCCGTTTAACTATCTTGGAGTTACGTAGTAACAGATTCCTTTGCGCTCTCCATACTTTTGTATTTACAATATTAGCGAGATAAAATTTACGTATCTAATTTATTAAATTGTGCTTATTTATTAAAAGGCAATAAATATCTTGCAGTGTAAGAATTTTATATAAAATTCTCGTGTCATAATGTTAGTTACCATACTCCTCCGAAACGGCTTGACAGATTTTTATAAAATTTTATATACATATGCAGTAGGTTTGAGAATCAGCTGTTAAATATTTTTTATTATAATACCGCGCGGACAGCGTCGCGGGCGACAGCTAGTGAGTCAATAAAATCTTAAATCGTGTTACTCTAGGTCTATTTGATACCTAAGACAAGTCTAGCCTTCTGGGAGACGAGGCCACATTTCTCGGAACTAGAGCATCAGGTACAGGTTAACGATGACACATCCGCGCAGTGTAACATCTTTGCTACATAGATACAATGTTTTTATGTCCTGACCTGGATAAACTCTAGACACGTCGTCTCGTATAGAAATAAGCAAGTAAAGGCAAAATTATAATAAAAATCTGCTTATCAGTTTTTTTATTGTATTGTGCGTTTACTAAAATGAAAACATTACTATTTCACTTGTATTTAGGTTAGTTAACGACAACGCCATCTCTGTGCAGCTTTCAAAACTATTTAGAAATATTTACTTTTGTTTTTTGTGTGTACCAAAAGCGGTGCTTTTGGAGTGCTTGTAAACTATTCTACGTTGTCATAATTTGTAAAATATAATGAAAAAATGATACCGTTTAATGTATAAATTTTATAAATATGGATCACTAAACATATATTGGTTTTATAGTTTTCTAACAGATGGCGTTAGGAGTACAATAAAATTGTAATACAAGTCTTCTATTTGTTTATAAGTCTAATAAAATAAATTTAAATTCCTGTTCCTCAGCCTAAATCCGAAAGGATAATAGTTTCATAGTAAAATGTAGCACAAAACTGAAAAAAACGTGAGATAATGTCTATTTCTATTCATACCAAGAATCCCTACGCATTAAAGTCAAAATTATTCCTGAAAACTCACATTTAGTTCCCGTTAACGGTATATACGTAACCTCTTTTTGTTATTTCCTGTTGATTTAAAACCACATTATGAGTAACAAAAAGTAATCGTGCCAATGAAATGCATTTTAATTAACAAAAACATCAATCAAATGAATTATTACTATACTGATCACAATATAAAAGGCCCGTTCAAACAACTTCAAAAAGCACACTTGCGAAAAACAAAAAGTGAGAATTGAAACCAACGTTCTAAATTTAAAATTTCCCTCCAATTCCTGTTTTGAATTCTTTACTTCTGTACTTCGCTTGCTACTTAAATTTTCTTTTTCTTTTGTTAATGTCATTATTTTGAGGTGATCGGCCATTTTGTGTCCACGATTTTTCATTACTGTGAAAATGGGCCAATAATTTCATGACGACTATGATCGTAACAAGCGCGTTTGCATTGAATATTCATACAAGAGCGGTGGAGTGTGGACAGTTACTGCGTCCACTGCACTGTAAGTGGAAATGCAGCTCAGTAGCCACACGTCGGGACAGGCAAACAGTTTTTATATCGAGAAAGTGTTGTGTTGTCTCTGAAAAAGGATCCATATATACTGTATGAAATTTGGAATTGAGATATGGAAAATTTTTACGGTATTATTAGAACTCTGAGCAGGAAAACATTGAAACGAAAACCAAAGGTACTTTTTTTAATTTGCTGCTTAAATTTAGTTCGTAATTTCTCCAGTTATGCTGATAATTTCAAGATTTTCCTTTAAATGTTTTGCTTATTTTATAAAACTTTCTAAACGTTATAAATGACATATTATAATTTGTATAGATTTAAAAACATCATATATTTTTGGCGGATTACGAAAACTTTAATAAAAAAATTATCGCACGTTTTCTTTTTACGAAAAAAATGTTCAAATTGGACACATCATAAGATTAAAACCATGAGCACTTATATTACTACATATTGTTATCTCTTTCTATTCAAAGAGAATAAATGTGACGACAATATTTTTGAACGCTACGCTTTTGAACAATATCACAAAGCTAGGCACAGACATGGCAACTTGAGTAAAGACCGGACTTACCATAGACAACATTGTTATTTGTATTCAAATATTACGTACATAAACGTAACACAATCGATAAAATTAAAATGGTTAATGATTGTTCAAAAGTTTTTTTTTTTATTTATGATGTCATTGGCACAATAATGTGAACTTATAACTTATATTAGCTGTTGTCCGTAACTCCATTCGCGCGTTATTAAAAAAAAACATAATTAATAACCTATGTGTTCTTCCAGGCTATATTCTCTATATATATATGCTAAGTTTCATCGAGATCCATTCAGTTGTTCTGGAGATACCTTTAAACAAACATCCATCCATCTAAAGATTTGCATTTATAATATTATAAGTTAGACATCATTTATATCACTCTTAAATTTTTGTTAAAGGAAAGTTTAAAAACTAATTTTCATACGATTTTCTTCAATATACGTAACATTTTAGGACTTCATCACTGCAACTCATGTAAACTGTAGAGAAATTACTAAGAAATTAGCCGTCTTAAGTCATTTACCTGCCATCAAGATGAGAAGATAACAATTTACTAAAGATTGTATGTGCACATAATAATTAAAAGCATAACAAAATTGCTATGTTTAGTAACATGATACAAGGAAACTGATTAATGTTATAAAATAAAATTGCACCATAATAACCGATCTCCATTCATCTTCAAAATTAAAAACAAAATTACAATATTATTACGAGACTTAAATCAACAAAGTAAAGCACCATAATAAAAAAAATATAGCTTTATCCAATTCTTAAATAGTTTGTAATTGTGTCCTACGATTATTATAATGTAATTATTTCGTTCAAAAGATGTCAATATGAACACATCTTACTGTTTGTGTACAGCTTCGGCGGCCATGTTGCATTTTGCCGTCACGCTTTCCTAAACACATCGCCACAGGTCTGAATCTTCAATAATCTTGTAATTGTTTTATTGGTGTAACGACTTATTATTGCTTACAGGCTTATTATTGCTTAATTTGAACAAACCTTTTAGTTATATCATTGATTTTTATTAAATTATGATTGATTTATTAAACAACGCCTACTAAATTCTAATAGCAATAATTCTTGTTATGAAAACACATCACAAAAAATCTGTCTATAAATTTGGTAGTTTAAATATCACTAAATTATGTGAACATTCTATTACTAAGATTTTCCTACAACTAAAAATTCCTTTATGACAATGATAGAATATTGAATTAAACTCACGATGTTTTAAAGTCAATCGACAAAGTTATTGGACAATAAACTATATTTTTCTGTCATAATTTTTAAGCTATTTAACCAATCGTGTTCATTCATCTATGAATATAAATCAACTCAACGAATAATTGTATATAATAATTACACAATACTGAACTAAATGTTTAGATATAACTTAATTGTATATTTATTTTATAACGATGACAATCTGCGTAGAAAAGCCGTATAAATGGATAACATCTTTGTTTATATCGTAAATACCTAAGATCTGAGTAAACGTAGTCATTTTATAATTGCAAGGATATCAAGATGTACAATTACTATTCTGTGGTAATATATTTATATAAATTCACTTATTTATCTTACAGATTAGTGTTCTAAAAATTATGTTTAAAAAATTGATTTGCTTTTTTTTACTGGCAACATTTTTTGTTACAGATACAACCAAAGCCTATGACAAATGGCATCACAACTAAAGAGCGTATAATAGAACGAGACAGCAGAGAAACAAGGGACATACGAGAATCCAGAGAGTCAAGGGAATCGAGGGATTCAAGAGACATACGAGAGATCCGTGAATCGAGGGATGAAACGGAACATATGGAAAGAAGAGCACAGACAAACTCGCCTGTACCCCGTGAGAGGGAAAGAGACAGAGATAGGGAGAGAGAAAGAGAACGTGACAGAGAAAGAGAACGAGATATAAGGGAAGAAAGAAGAGATCAAACGACACCACAACACGACGGCAGACATCCTCTACTCCAGTTCGCAGTCGACCATTTCAGACAGAGTCCAGAGTGAGTACTAATATTTTTTTTATTTATTTAGACTAAAATATTTTTGCCTATTAACCAGAAATTTCACGGCGAAAAATTAGACTTAAAATCACATTTGACATCAGCGCCATCTAGTAACAAAGCATGAATATGGCACTAAGTTCGATATAACGGTTCCCTGTAAAAATTTTAAATCTTAAATTATTAATTTTAATTGGATTAATTTGGCTGTATTTTTTATATTAGTAGTACTTACAGAATTTAATAGTATTTAATGCTTAACACCACGGAATTTTTTCACTTCCAAAATAAGATGAATTGCAAGAAAAAAATACTCTTCACCTGAGCTCATTGTAGAATTAGAAAGATAACTAAAGTCTATGATGTGTTAGCTTAAATAATGATTGAATTTAAGTTTAGGAAGCTCAATGAAAGTGCAAGTTGTAATGATAAGACAAATTTAATGCAATTTCACTTTGTTTATTGATTTCACGATACTGACAGATAAAATTCAAAAGTGTTATTTAATTAATATTTCTTGGAATTATCTTCATATATTAAAATTATTATATATTTTAAAATAATTAATACAATGAGTTTACTAGAGATTTCATTTATATAAATTTAAAGCTTACTTTAGTTCTTTTATACTATTCAAGGTCACCAGACGATAATTTAGGCTAAATCTAGGTGGGGCTTGTAGTAAAACCTTTTTTTTATACAAACGGCAACGCTTACACATGTAGTTAGGTGATGAGAACAGTTTTCATATGATATTCTAAAATTAACAATAGCCAAATGGTTAATGCCACGGACAAATTAGAGTCTGAAAATTTGAATCTCTTTATTTGACTATTGTAAACTGTATTAGACAATGCATCGACATTATTTAGAACTAGCGAAAGCCCGCGACTCCGTCCGCACGTAATTAAAAAAAGACATAATTAGTCTATGTGTTCCTCCAGACTATGTCCCATATGTATGCCTAATTTCATCGAGATACATTCAGTCGTTATTGAGTTATCTTCAAATACTCATCCATCCATCTAAAGATTCGCTTTATAACATCAGTAAAAAGTAAAATAATATTAGTAAAATTTAGTCACAAAAAAATAAGTAAATTTATTTTTACTTTTTTAAAATTGTATGTTTACTTATCATTTTTAATGTGAAAACGCGGGCACCCAAAACTCAGCTACTGGTTTAACTATAACAATAATATGTTGCTCAAGAAAAGGAAAGAAGCGACGGTCATTGTACTCGATTTGCGTAACCCATTGTTACAGCAACATATAATTGTATTGTACTGCCAAAGTAGCATAGCAACTGAAATTATTTTGATACAAACATACACATTTGAGAGCCTTAACAACAATCCGCAAAAGGGCTATTGTGACAGACAAGGGCCTAGTCCTAGCTTAAGGCTCTCCGTGTGCGACTTCGTCCGAGCGGTTTTAAAAAAAAAAACTAAATTAGTAGTCTGTGTTCTTCCAGGCTATTTTTACTTCTATGCCAAATTTTAAGCGAAATCCTTGCAGCCGCTGGAGTTCAAACAAACATCTATCCCTCTAAGCATTTATAATATTAGTAATAAGTGCGATTAGTAATATGAAAACATACAAAAGCTGAATCTATATCTATGCATATCAATTAAATTAGGGTACATATATGCACCCGAGAGGGAGCTGCCTCGGCAGCTGGCGCAGACGGGGACGCGGACGAGAGCGAAAGCGTGCCCGTGGTCCCGTCCCGATGCGTTGGAGGAACAGAGGGGTTTAGTGGGTATGCCTCCGCTATGGAGGAGAATCCCACATAACTACCGCGTCCCCCCCGGGGCGCGGAGTATGTATAAAGCATTGCCCTCTGAAAAAAAAGGGTACATATATGCTGTATTTGCGTAACAGATAATGGAAAACCAGTCGATCGTCGTTATTTCGAAAATGTATTACTGAATTTCTAAGTAACTATAGGTGGTGGTGTTTATTTTACAAATCCAAATATCATGAAATCTTTAGTGTCTAAAAACTTTTGAAACATAGCAATCTGAAAAGATATTGCGACAGTCTATACTTACCAATCCAATGAAGAAAGAAGTTTAAAAAAGTTTTTTTTATAAAAATTAAAACTTATGGATGTCGTCGATGTGTGAATTAATCCTCATCGATCGTTGTTTGTCTGTTAGTTATAAAAATGGATTTAGTTGTTAATGTATATGTTAACATGAACGACGTTAACAAAGCGCTACATGATATTAATTGCTGTATAATGCTGTTATCTCCTCGCATTGTTCTGCTCAGCCGCAAAAAGAGGGCGCTCGTAGTTTTACATTCAATACAGAGCACCGCGCGTTCTAAGAATCAATGTTTGCATACTTCTTTAATTACTGATTCAGGGCTACGAGATATTGATTTGTTCGTGTTATTAAATTATTTAAGGTGGTTAAATAGAGTTAACAACCATACAGTAACGGAAAATGAAAGATAAAATCAATGATATTTGAAGAAGTTTGCCTAAATTTCATTTCTTAAATGAAAAATAAAAACAGATTTCTAGAAGTTCTCCTATCACCATAAATTTGGGATAAATATCTTGTAAATATCTAATAAGCAGTATTTTAATTAGGAAGTGATGTAAAATTTATTATGTTATCAAACAATCGCAACTTTCGAGTGAGGATTTGCTCTGGTTTAAATTCAAAAGAGTAACGTAATGATTTTCGCGTTAGGCAACACCTTTGTCAGCTGGTGCGTACATCAAAAACAATGGAGCATTAAAAATGTTACGCGGAAAAAAATGACAATCAGCCCTAGTTAGTCGAGTGTGGTGTTTCGTTGGGAAAACATTGGCTTACCGTGGCCGTGGGACAGGGGCGCGCCAGTCGGCGGCCATGCCGTGCCTCGCGTTCGCGCACCTCAAACGACGAATGCAAGTATCCGAACGTGTTTTTGTGTTTTTGACAGATTGTTTTTTTAAAGGACAAGAAAAATTGTTCCTCCTTCCGTGAATATAATTTTTTTTTGTATTTAATTATTTAATACGTTTTTAATCTGTGTAAAATCAGTAATTAATTGAGCGACGTCCGCAAAATTAATTAAACAGTTAAGTGGTAAGGAAGGAAGTGGAAAGAAAGTGACAAAAACCCCTGACTAGTTTTATCGATAAATTACGGTTTATCTATTTTTTCAAAATAATTTTAATTTATTTTTACATTAAAAAAAGCAAATTACAACATATTATAGCAATCGCGAATAAAAATGTAGAAAAGACATGATGCTAAAAATTTAAATACTCGAGCAATTTTTGCGTAATAATAAATCGCAACAATCGCTAGAGATTTCAGTTGAGTAATCCGAGTGGACACATCTCGAGCGTTTCCTAAATATTGCAACAAACACCACCACAGTTTTAATTCTAGCTGTCCCGTATATTCTTTAATTAAAAAAACTACATAGTCAAAATAGGCAAAGCGTAATTCATACAATTTTCACGGTACCACTTAACAAATTTTATATAAATCTTATATATAAAATTCTCGTGTCACAATTTTCGTTCCCATACTCCTCCGAAACGGCTTGAGAGATTCTCATGAAATTTTGTGAGCATATTAAGTAGGTCTGAGAATCGGCCAACATCTATTTTTAATCCCGCGCGGACGGAGTCGCGGGCGACAGCTTGTGTTATATAATTATATTTGTTTATTATCATAACGATAAACTTCTTCTGATCTCAATCATCGAAATCAATGTTTTATTCACTGCTGCTTTCGCAAGAGTTTCGGAGACATACGGTAACATCACATTGAATGTCGGAAAACGATTCTTGCAACCCTAAGCTTTATTTATAAATACTAATATTGCGTCTCACAATATCTAAGATTTTTTTACGTAAACTTTTTCTCATTGCCTCTATCGTCTGGATTAGTTCCTTAGTGTAGGTTTGTCATAGTAAATCTACATTAAGGGTAACTACTATGAGTGCGGCTATGAGTATGTTAGTCAGATTGTACTAACAATCTTTTTACTTATGGCTAATACCAAGACAATCGACAATAGCCGATTGTGTATTATTTATATTGTATCGTGTTTACTTTATTATGGACTAGCTAACGCCCGCGAATCCATTCACGCAGTATATAAACTTAATTAATAGCCTATTTATTCTTCCAGACTACGCCATGCTTCTTTCTATATCTATGCCAAATTATAATACATTGAAATCCGTTTATCTGTTCTGAAACATCCATCCATCTAAACATTCGCATTTATATTTTTTTTTGTGACTGAATTGCGACTGTTTGCCTTGAGTATAGCTTCACCGGGTTTGAGGTTGTCGAGCGCAGATGGCACTTAGCCTAAACCTCGTTTAAGAGTAACTAAACTCGAGGGCTCCCTCAGGAACCTCGGCTCGGGCCGTTACTTCGTTATCATTACCGGATTGCTTATAATATTAGTAAGATCAATTAATTCTAAGAATAATTGTATTAATTAAGTATCTAATATAGAATTGCATGACGAAGCACGTGTGTAAACAAATACATACGAAAACCGATGAGATGCAAAATAATTCGAATTCGGTAACCAACGGCAATGGTCGAACACTTTCGCCGATTCGCGTTCAGTGTACGTTTACTCGACCAAGTTGTCGGTCCATTGGTCGGGAGTTTAGTGTTCGTTCAGTCGATTGAGATGTCGGTCGAGTTGTCAGGTGATCGTGCCGACATGTCCTCTGACAGCTTGTCGGTAGACGCTGACGGGGAAGCTACTGACGATGATTCGGCAGATAATATCCTGTGAGATTTTTTTCTAATGTCCAATGTTTGAGGTTTCCGTGTATCTTTTCTTATACAAAATCTATATTTATTGTATTAATATATTGTGTTAATTAGTGATTATAAAAAAATGGAACGATTTTTGTGCGGGATTTAATAAAAGTAAATCATGAAAGGGGAATAAAATTGTTAAAAACTAAGCATTTAAAGTTTTGGTCCTTGTTCATATTTTATGATATACGTAAGGTAAATAAAATACAAAATATTATTATGATTTTGTATTCCTAAATATAAGTCGCAAAACTTTTAACATGTTAGGTATTTTAACTTCACTTTAATCAATATTGGCGCACTGAGACAATCCATGTAGTCTAGAGGTCAGGCTCTGCTTATATGACCACTAAACGACTCTAAGTCTGGCAGTTAGTCTTGCATTAAAATTATTTAAAAAAAACTATAATTTACGTGTGCATAGCCGTGGTCATGGTCGAATAATCCATCCGTGCCATGGTCGGTGTAATAAAACAGCAAAACGTAAACTCAATACATTTAATTTGTTGCACACAGCTGCTACTTCAAAAAGTTTAACATTTAACATTGTTCGTTGTTGTTAATTTACTTTAAATTATATATGACTAGCGGTCGCCAACGACTTCGTCACTGCGGGATAAAAATAATAGCCTATAATATGCATATATTAGACAAACTAAATTTAATAAAATTAAGTTTTCGTTATTAGTAACGAAAATACATACACTCCAATTTTATTAATATGTAGATAAAAATAATCGAAGTAATAATGAAATACTTAATTATACTTAACTTTTGGTTAGGTTAAAACGTTCATGTCCTGATGCCTTTTACGGATAGAAACATTAGAATCGCTTCCTACGTTATAATAGTACATAAACACGACTCAGTCACGGTACGGCCACGAAACTCCGAAAGCAGAAACCATTGTTGTACGTCACGCTAACATTTATTTACGATTATACATTTTACAATGCACTAATTTACACGAAAAAAATGCATTATCCAATTTAAACTACTCTGTAATTCATATCTAGATAGTTTTATTTCAAAGAACAGTATTATACAACTTTCTTTGATATAAAAGCTAGGTTTTTAAATATACAAGACGTCGGTGGCTCAGTGGTCAAGCACTTGACTTGCAATCTGCAGGTCCTGGGTTCGAATCCCGCCATGTACCAATGTGTTTTTCGATTTCCGATTAACATATGTACATTACGGTGTAGGAAAACATCGTGATGCAACCTGCACATATTTGAGAAGAAATTCAAAGATATGTGTGAAGTCAACCAACCCGCACTTGGCCAGCGTGGTTGACTATGGCCTTATCACCCTTAACTTAGGGTAGGCTCTGAGCCCCTCGGTGAGGACGTATAGTGTGCTGATATATTGATTTAAAAAAAATGATAGCGATGTCTCTACGTCTCACTGTCGCAGACATAAACACAAATCATGTCGTCATTATAATACGCAAAATACACCCTAGATGTGAAGTTATGACAAACTAAGCCCCTACAACTGACATATTGCTAAGTGCTTCTAAATAAAATGTAATAATCGTAAACATACAAATATCTTACAAGTCAATTCATCTTAAAAAAACTAATTAAAAATCAAACATCCGACTGTCAGGCGAATTGATAAAATGTTTTTAATTAATTATCTTAAAGTAACATTTAAAACATCAATAAAGCTATGCTACTTTCCAGATATAGAAATTAAAATTGCATCTAGATCATGCATGTTAAAAGTTTTAAAAGCGAAATAATTATTTCTTGCTAATTGACATAATATATTAATTTTCTTTACTAAAACATTACATAATTAAAATATAAAACTTTAATCTATCTATCTTAAAGGAGCTAAATTAAAGGTAGGCAACGCGTATGCAATTGCGTATGTCTATGGGCAACGGTCACTTCGCTATTTCAGCGATTTCAGGTGGCCGCACGCTCGTTTGCCACCTTATGATATAAAAAATCTTGCTAATATTATAAATGCGTTAGTTTGGATGGATGTTTGTTTGAAGGTATCTTCAGATCGGCTGAAGGTATCTCGCTGCAATTTGGCATAGATGTAGAAGGTCTGGAAGAACACATATACGACTTATTAAGTTTGTTTAAATCCCGCGCTGACGGAGTCACGGGACTTCTATGTTTGTAGATTTATTTTATCAGTATTTTTTAAATCTTCTATTTGTAAAATGTTTATAGCTTTTTGTTTACATTAAAATTACATTTTAAAGTGCTGTAAGTCGAATGTAAGACGCATTTAAGTCCCTGACACGCTCAGTGAAAGTTACTCGCTAACAACTAATGTTTCTATAAGGTACAGGAATTACTTGTTTTAAGGCTAACTGGTTCACTAAATGTCAATTTACAACATTCCATTTTAACAATGAATTATTTGCTAAATAACTAGTCTATCGTTGAATATTATTGTACAGTTGATCTATTACCATTACCGACCGTGTGTTTCGGAGACCAAAACCCTCGTTCAATACATTAGTATTGGTTTCTCTGTTATATCAAAGATGAAAGACAGGGATAACGATATATTTTATACAAAGATTTTGGTGTTAGAAACCCACGTTCAAAGATATACAAATATTTCTGTTCATTTATTGTTTTTCATATATGTTACTTTATTTAAAAAAAAAAACAGTACTATTTTATGAGTGTGTTATTTTTTTCTAAGATGTTAATAAAATGCCCCACGATGTTGTAAATACTATTCGATTTTTCTTAGTTGTCAAATCTCTAATTCTCTCAAATTATCAAATTCCTAAGTTAAAGTTCACATTGCCGTGTTTCTGTGATGATAAGTCAAAGTTGTATTGGAAAGTTTGTCAGATAATTGTAGTCGATCGTTGAATATTCTCGTATAAGTTATCGAAGGTGCGTTTATTTCGCGTCTTTTTGATTATAGATAATTTCCTACGCATCGTAAAGTTTTGAAACTGCTTTCTCCTGCACTATATGATTGCATCACGTCTATTAAAAATTAATTAAGCGTAAAATACATATGAAAAAATTATTCCATAGTTTTTCTTTTTTTGTATCTAATCTACTTTGTTCCAATAAGAATTTTCATATTCTCATTATATTTTATTTATTGCTAAGTTATTTAAATGTCATAGCGCAAAAAATCATTAATAACGAAAGACATTTTCACATAAGTTATACCAAAGTTTAATAAAAATCTTTCTTTTTAGTAAAGACAACTAATATAAGTCACTATTCAAAACTATTCTTAGTTTGCTGTCAAGTATTTCCTAATTTAACTTCTTTTATATGCAAATATGTATCACACCTGCGAGGTAATTACGTATTTATACGGTGTAAATTACGCGCTTACGTGATCCACGTGCGTTTTGTTAGTCTATCTACAATGCGTTTAATAGCCATAGCGTCATTAAGTCACGTAGGTTGGTAAAACTTTCTTTAATTCCTACATTTCCTTAAAGGTGCAATGATTTGTTTGGCATCTTAATAACCGAGTATCTAATCACGTCCAATTTTTTTTTAATTGTGTCATTTATGTTTTTGGTAGAAACGTGACCGATGATCGTGATTAAAGGTTTAGAAAAAAATATTACGCAAACGACGGTTTTCCTTTAGAAAATGATACCATAGTTAACTTAGAAATATCGACTTTGAACCGTACTCTTGGGAACTGATTGAAACAAGTTTTTAACTACGAAAAAAACTTTAAACAAAATATATTACAGACATTAAGTTATTAACACGTTTTATTCAAAGGATTATCATGAATTGGAATTTATAATAATTTTAAACCACAGATTAGAAATATTGAAAGCCGATTCATCACTGAAGAGTAAAGCGAAACGGAACGAATGGACATGGAAGGCGCAGACGGACGTCGTGAAGTGGCAGGCGGGTCCGCTGCGGGCGCCACTGTTGCGTCTGCCCACCGCACTAGCGCCCCCCGCGCTCGAGTGCTTCACCTGCGTGCGCGCATACTGCGGAGACCTGCAGCCCGCAGAACGCGCACAACACCATGACCTCACTGAGGTCAAGTGCGTCTACACTGTGCTTATGGTAATTATCATTTACCAAGAACGACAAAATATATGATACTTATACCAACTTATCGCAGAATTTTTAACGTGAACTCGTCGTCAAATTTTAGGCCAAATTGTTAAAACAGCTTTGGATTAACAAACTATTATCCGTAGTTTCCAACTTTCCTTATGAGACATCGTACTTCGTTCCACAACATAAGTTAAGTAATTGAACAACTTTGCAGCACTGCCACTCGGTCCCGGAACTGCGTGACGAGGTGTACTGCCAACTAATGAAGCAGACGACGTCCAATCGCTCAGCCGCGCCCGACTCCTGCCAGCGCGCCTGGCGACTCATGTCCATACTGGCAGCATACTTCACATGCTCAGATACTCTCCGGTTAGTGCAACACATATTTTTTTTCAATTACAATCAAAAACATTTAATGGTCACTTAAGTAACCCCATTAAGAGACTTTGTGTGTTGATCTTTAAAGTTATAACATTGATAATGCAATGTCCAGACCGTTCCTGGTGGAGTACCTGTCAGCAGCAGCAGCAGACCGGCGGAGACCATGCCAGGGCACCGCCTCAGTCTGCCTAGCAAATCTGAGGAAGACGCTGCGGTGCGGCGGCAGGAAGAACGTGCCCAGCGTTGAAGAGGTCAGTTACTCCTTCAAACCTGATACTTACTGACAGACTCCAAATTTAGTACTCTTCCCCTTGTTATAGCTGCGTGTGTGCTCACTTGAATACATACAAAATATATCGTAATATGCCTTGCTACAATTTATATCTATACATCTACTTATGTTATGTTATGTTTTATATGATATTTCTTTATAATTATTTTTGTGCTGTTTTGCTTAATGTGTTGTGATATTTGAAGGATTAAATGTTTTTTTTCTGTCTGACAGTGTGTGTATGTGTGCGTGTGTGTGTGCAGGTGACGGCGGTGTCAGCGGGGCGGTCAGCGCGGCGGCAGCTGTACCGGTTGCCGGGCGGCGCCGAGCGCGTCGTGAACACGCGCTGCGCCACCGTCGTACAGGACATCGTCAACGAACTCTGCGAACTGGTACGTAATGATCTATTAACGTTGCTATCTTAGATGCGGACTTTATATAATATATAGCGAAGTATACAATAATTATAAATTGAAAAAAAAATTAACCGACTATTTTGAGTTGCACATGATATTCCGAGATTAAACACAAATCCTTTATGAAAGTTACATACAAACAAAATCTTATACATAATAATTTACATACGAAGGAAAAACATTACCAGGAAGGTAATCGGTCAATTTGAAACATTGGTTGATGTTGTATACAGATCGGTGTGAGCAGCGAGGCGGAGCGCGCGGAGTTCTCCCTGTACTGCATAGTGGCGGGTGACGCGCTCACCATGCCGCTGGCGGGCGACGAGTACGTGCTGGACGTCACCACCGAGCTGCAGCGCGCCCATCATCCCTTCTACCTCATCTTCTGCCGCTCCGTGTGGCATCACCCTCTGCGGCACGACGCGCCACCCCTCTATACTGAGGTCCTCTTCAACCAGGTCTGTCACTCACATTGTGTCACACAGTGCTCAAATCCTCATGCAAAATACAACGCGAACATTTTATCTTTGTCCTATACATTCCTTAAAGAATGCTAGCAGCATTCCAAAGCAAGCTGGGTTCAACCATCTAAACTTTCGCATTTATAACATTAGTAAGATTATTCTTCTTACAGGTAGCACCAGACTACCTAGAAGGTCTCCTCCTGGTGCTGCCGAACGGCGGTGCGCCTCCTTCACCAGTGTTGCGTGATGCTGCGCTGGTGGCGGCGCTGCTGCACCGCGCGGCGGGTCTGCCCGAGGCTCCCACACCACGAGACCTGCGCTTCTTGCTGCCCAAGCCGCTGCTGGCGCTGCGCGACCCTCGACCCGCCAAGTGGGCCTCCTGGGTCGCTGCAGAATGGCCCCCAGTCAGGACACTCGCCCCGCCCGCCGCCAAGTCTAAAGTACTACAGGTCAGACATCAAAACACACTAATTTCTCTTTTTAACTACTAATCTTCTTTTATCAGATTTATTAGATACAGGCATTTAATAAAATACTAGCAAATCTTCTTAATTTTTTGCTGCTGCCTACTTCTAGTCATCGTACACGGAAAAAGGCAAAGTTAAAAGTATTTTGTAATATTTGAATTATTATGTTTTTTTAATTCCCAGAGTCTTTTATTTCGTCTATTTATTATATTTTAAAAATTTAGACGAAAAATTATGTTAACAATAATTATGTTTATTTGTATCCAGGTGTTGTCCCGCTGGCCACTGTTCGGATCATCGTTCTTCGCTGTGCGGCGCGTGTCTGGAGGTGGAGGTGGTGGAGGCGGTGCTGGTGCTGGTGCTGGTGCTGGTGGTGAGTGGCGCGAGCACGTGCTGGCGCTGAACCGGCGCGGCGTGCACCTGCTGCACCCCGCCACACACGAGACCGACACACACTGGCCCTACGCTGAACTCATCTCCACCAGGAAGGTTAGAACTGCAACTATTTAATATCTTTATCATTATTCCTATCTCGCTGCATTATCTCGCAGAACAAATAACACCTTCATAGTATATATGAACAAAAATTGCCAGGCAACAATATGTAAGCGACTCATTTCATGGACAATTTAATATGAGATAATCCACAGATTTTACTTCTTAATTATATTACATTTGTTGCTAATGCATGGATGGATGGATGGATGTTTCTTTGAAGTTATCTCCGGAACGGCTGCATGGATCTAACTGAAGTAGAACATAGGCTGGAAGAACACATGTTCTACTTATTATTTTTTTTTATTCCGCGCGGGCAGACTAGCGAGCATCAACTAGTATATAAGAAGTAAGTTGTTTGAGTGTAGATGTTAACGGTTGTATATGCAGGTGCGGTCAGAAGACGGCACACTGTTCCTGGACGTGAAGTGCGGGTCCCTGCTGCAGCAGCGCGTGACGCGGCTGCAGGCGGAGCAGGCGCACGAGGTGGCGCGTCTCGTGCGACAGTACGTCGCCCTGCAGAGAGACACCGCTCACTCGCCAGGTATAACCACATGCAAACTTTATGACCGCTCGCCAAATCATTCATATGGGCATATAACCAGTGGGTTGTAAAAGGATGACATTCAGCCACCTGAATTTGCCAAAATAGCGAAGTAACCGCTTCCCATAGAATCTGCATTTGCATTTCTTTGCGTATATTTAATGTAGTAGGCTTTACCGACTGCAGTGGGCTTAGTATCTACCTGTAAGGATTGTGCTTACAGTTAACGACGAGCCGCTATGAGTTTTGAATCTTATAATACCTATTACACGCCCCATAACTCGTCTTACCATGAGATCAAAAATGAATAACTAATCATATATCTGTAGTATTTTTTGAACATATTAAATGATACTGATAAACTGATTTAAAAACGCTTAAACACTGGCGTATATTCGTCCGGTGGCGGCACCGACTAGTTTCGAGCCCATCGGGGCCCTTCATCAGGGTGAGTGGGACTTGTATTATTTCGTGGACGCGGCCCCCAGCTCACTGAAATAATACAAGTCCCACTCATCCTGATGAAGGGCTCCGATGGGCTCGAAACTAGTCGGTGCCGCCACCGGACGTATATACGTCAGTGTTTAGCCGTTTTTATATCATTTTATTATAATGTCCCACGAAAGTTTGAATAATTTTATACATAAATCTGTTTAAAATGGTCTCTAATAATGAATTTTCTTTTTCAGGTTTCAGCGCCTGAGTACGTGAGCTGACTTAAATATTGGGAAAAATGAATATTCAAAACGCAATTGTTTTGACTTTGAGGAATTGAATGATATAACTTATCCGTCCAATTTACGATCTGATAAATGTATTTTACTATTACTAATACAAAGAGTGAAGTTAGGAACAAAATCTTACTACAAATTTTTTTTTAGTCTATGTCAAAGCAACTAAAATATCTAGAAGACTTATTTAAACCAGATATTTTACATATCCTAAAGTTTCTGATCTTACCGTGGGTTTCTGAAAACAAAATCTCTGTATAAAACATATCGTCATCTCAAACATTATCTTTGACAAACAGATAACAATATGATTTAAACGGGAATTTTGGTCTCAGAAACCCACGGTTAATACATAGTATCTATAAAACTCTCGAATTGGGTTAAAATATTTAAGGAACTTATATGGCACTAACTTCACTCTTACGATTAAAATGAGAATAGGATTTATAAAATTATACATATAGTACTCTTATATCTTAGTTATTAGACTCTTCTATTTTCATTTTAGTCATTTTTATTATATACCTACTTATATCAAATATCGTATTTTAAATAATTTAGTTCATATTTTATTCCATAGTTATTGTAAAACGACCAAATATTATAAACAAGAAACAGACAAAAAAATTGGCTTCACAAGATGTTTAATTAAATATCTTCAAAAATGTAATCTTAAAAATAATTATGTAGTCGTAATAATTATGAAAATAATTGTCACAAAAATATATTAATATTTTTAAGTATTTACTACGGATATTCAGAAAAACCAATTTCTTACCCGTAAGTAGCTAATATAGCTAAAATAAATTTTGTTAACCGTTTTCAAATATTCCTTTTTAACTGTGGGTTAACTTCTGTGATCACTGACCTCTACATACTATGAAAAGGTCGTTGCTTAAAAATAACTGGTCGTGGTTTGTAGACTAAAATCACATTTTAATACATTTTGCCTTTGTTTTATTAAACATTTTATAAAAAGATTTTGTTCTCAAAAAGTATTGACAGTTTATTTAATCTATATTAGTTCCAAGTTACTCCACCGCCTCCAACCGCGACTGTCAGCGCCATAATGGCGTATATCAAATAGGCACAAAACACAATGACTTATAGCCTTTGTATAGAGGTCAGTGGATGACAGTTTGGATTGACACATTCTTTATCCCTTACACTCTCTTTGTAAAAAACAGAGAGGAAACTATATGTCGATACAAATGTCATGACTATCGTAACTCACAGAGATAAACCATCACAGGGTAAAAGAAAAAACCAGAACATTGTTACAGTTTTTTTTTCTATTTTGTTACATTATATTTTTTAATTCGAATATTTTTTTTATGGAATTCGTATTATATTATATAGTATCGATATTTCCGACAATAAAATAACGACTAACGAAGTAATTTATATAAAAAACAGATTCCAAAATATTATTACTGATAAGTCTTACTCGAATTTTATCAAGGTGCTAATTTCTTTTTTAAAAATAATATAAAATGACCAGAGACATAACTATAACTCAAAATATTTTTTATAACCTACAATTTAGAGCGAATATTATGTAATCTAATTAAAGTCTCTGGTCTAATGTTTTTTTATTTCTTTAATTATAATGGTATATATTTAATTTGTATAAGCGCGTCCAAAGACGGCGGCGATCGGAGTCATGTTTATTGTATGTTATAGAAAATTATTCGTTGTAATATATTTAAATTAATCGATGTGTAATGAGATAATATTGTAGATATCAAATAAAGGTTATATTTTTATTTATTTGTTTTCTTGACTTTTAAAATTATCTGAATTTACTTCCTGGGGTATTCAATATCGGAACACTTGAAAATAAGTGTTAAAGAAAAATAAAACATTTTATTAACACGAGCGTTACACGGCTGTGAAATTAACACAAAAATATAAAAACAAAAAAAAAACACAATTAAAAATTTATTCCAAAACAATGACTTTAACTAATAATTAATAAAATAAAAATAGATAATCATTTATCGCCGAGAGCATTTGAAAGAACTTTGCATACGATAAAGAGGCCCATCCCTCCCTCTGTGATTTACCATAAAGGATAGGTCACCTGTCTATGGCCGAAGGTTGTCCGTTGCCGTTGTTTCTCACGCGGTAAAAAGTGTCCTTTGTTACGCGGCGACGGTTACGTCTCCAACCACAAGGCTATGTATTATTCTCTGACCCCGTGCTCACTAAGTGTTCAGTGGGACTGAACATTTTCAAATAAACATTGTCGTTGTTAAAGCCTTTCTTACAGTGTGTTTTCACTGCCGAAACACGTAGAGAAACATTGTCCCTCAACAAGTTTGCGATGGGCATAACAATATTACAAACAGACAGAAAATAACACCGAACATATGGTTCTATTCTGGACAGAAATACTGATAATATGTTGAACATTAATTATATAATACTAGCTTTCGCCCACGACTCCGTCCGCGCGGAAAAACAACTTAACAAGTAGCATACAGCTGTTCTGGAGATACTTTCTTACAAACCATCCATCCAAACAAATATTATCATTTATAATATTAGTAAAATTAAATGCTTAATTGACAATGTGGGATTGACGACGGCGTATATCCGGCGATTCTAACCTCACAGCGTGAAGTGAGGTCGCAACGCACGGACAGACAAATACAAATTTGTTATAGTCACGTGTATATTATTTATTTAAGATGAAAAAAAAATACATTTTATATTATAGGTCGACTTATCAATCTTTTAATGATATAACCAATAATTTGTCTTGGTATCTAAACAAAGCCGACCTTACAAGCTTGCTCATAAGTAAATATTGTAATTTAGTTTTTTCTTATCCATTAATAAAAAATAAAATACAGGATATTTACAAAAAATAAAGTTTAGCTATTTATTTAATGATGATTTTTTACCTTAGAAAAGAAACAGAATAAGAAAGGCCTACATCTTTACACAAAGAATAAAATGAAAGGCTCATCTAAGAAAATAGACTGAATTACGACGACTTTCTTCAATGTTACTACTATTAAAAGTTACCTTCATCTCTTAACTTTATAACAAAATTTATGGTTAATTTAGTTATTTATGTTGTTTGTGGTGCGTGGGAAATATGAGAAACATCACCGAGCGCCGCATGTATTGTTTGGTTAATATATTTTAAAACACAAATATTTAAATCACTATTTTAATAAGTAAAGATAAAGCATTGATATGATTTAGATAAAATTTTGTCTACTTTAAAATAATAAATGAGAAGATAATGCAGAAATTCGACTCTGGACGTCAATTGAGTGTACGTAAAAATTTGAAATTTTAAAAACTCGTTACAATATCTATCTACAATCTTCGGATAAAACCTTTAATACTTATGTTGTTTACATATAAAAAGCTATGAAATCACTGAATAAAACAAAAAATTAGCACGATACATCTAGTTCAACATTCGTCAAGTGTATAACAATTTGTCATTGTCAAGTGGCAGTAATCACAGGAGACAAGATCGTAAAGTAATTATACCTACAGACCTCAGTCCGTACCAGGTGTGTAATGGGACAGTTCCTTACCCGATCACGCACAATGTTAATTGCTTTTAAGTTTTTTGTCTCCCACGTTACTTGACAGCTCATATTAATATAACAATTACTCAAAAATACACTTCATAATGATACTTTATTAAAAACTATTTGCGGAAGAATATTGTGATTATGTTGATGGGAGTAGTCACAAAATCATTCTTTACGAAAGCTAAAAAAATGTGTTACAAAAATATTGTAGGAACTTAAAGTTTTAAAGTAACATATGTTATTGATTAACGTTTAAAAATAAGTAAATTTTGAAAATAAAAAATCTTTAGATCTTACTTTAATGTAGGTTTCTTCTCCATAAAAAATCAGAAGAGTATTCTTTTTTGAAGGTCAACTTACAAGTCTTGGTTGAGGTCAAGAGTACACCAATACGTATATTGCAGTGTTGCAATCTGTGCTCCTCTGTGCAATACACTGTGCACCCATTGAGCGATATGGCCGACTCACTTCATTAGCAATGGAGTATGAATGAATTTAACGCGATAGTGCAAAGGTTGCAATATTACCTTACGCACGTTATAAGGTTAGCTTAGTTAGTGGAAAACAATCGTCTGTCGTGTTTTTTTACAAATGATGGATATAGAAAGACTTATCCGCGTTTTACGGAGCTTGTTAACTATAAAAATAAAGAATTGACACCCGAAAAAATAGTAAATTGTATATTTAAAAAATTTTTAAATATCCAGAAATAAAGTTGGCAAAAATGTTCGAAAATCAAAATTGTTAATTGATAGCCGTTTGTCACATTTATTTGGCTACGTATTTAGTCGTTATTTAGTATTCGTAGCGAAATACCGCGTACCTATATCTTCTACAAGGTTACATTTATGCGAGTTCATTGGTAGGAGAGGTCTGACAATAGTTGAAATACAAAAATATGAATAGAATTGAATGTTTTCCGGAATTATAATTGAATAACTCCTTATCCTTTCCGCCGCGATCATGGGTAAGTACTGAAGTTTTTGTTAACACGTAAAATCGTGTGAAAATTCTTTGTATTTGGGCAAGTGGGAAAACTCATGTTCAAATCTGTGCACTGTTTATACACATTAAAGTAATTAACTTGTAATAAAAATGTTTTAATCATACATTTTTTTGTCTAAATGTTTTGTTAAAGTTCATGCTGAGATCATTTTTAATTAAAATCTCTTGAAATATTACGCGTTAACATCCGTTTCAAGGAATTGTTAGATGTAATGAAATTAGTTAATTCAGGATATTTCTTAAATATTCAAATGATATAACTGCTTGGAAATATTTAAAATATGTAATCGTTCATTTGTAAAAATATGTCACATAAATCTTAAAGATAAAATCTTATGTCTAAGTGGGGCTGTGTCTTGGTGTCCGTATCTGGCGTGTTTCGGGCCACCTTCCAGCCGTGTACTGCACGTAGCCGGGGTCGGTGGGTGTGCCTGACGCGCGCCCATCCGTCTCCCCCGCCTCCCTGTCCCGCTCCTCTATCGGCTCCATGGGGAATAACGCCGGCGTCTCTGACCGCCGCGATCTCGTTGAACCTCTGAGGTAATCCTCCAATTGCTGTAATGTCGGAGGGCTAACTGTCTTCGCTCTAGAGGGAGACTTCGACTGCCGCTTCTGTTCGTATGTAGGCGACACGTCGTCATATAAACTCTTCAGCCGCCCAGTCTTCACTTTTGAGAAGACGGGCGTCTGCAGTTCTGGCAAGTAATCCTCTCTAACGGACAATTTTCCTTCTACCTTCTCTAAAAAGTCTCTAAAGTACCTTTCGTTGAATTTTGCAAGTTCCCTTTCGTAGTGAATACGATCCGACTCAGTCAATGGGTCTGTTAATTTAACATAATTTTCGTCCTCTACGCCGCCGTTACGAACAGAACCGAATTTAGATTTTTCCAATTCTTTTTCAATAACGTCATTAAATTTTATAAAGCCATTCTTATGTTCGTCGAAGAGATCCGTCTCAAGCTTCTTAGTGACTTCTTCTGTTTTATTCTTTTCTAAATCAAGATCTTTCGGTCTTTCGGCGGGAGCGTGACCGTTTGCTTTTCCATTAGCTAAGGTGCCGTTGGTTGTCGGCGGTGTGACAATGGAAACTTTTTTCTCTTTCAATTGCGGTGAGGAAACTGGAATAGTTTGAGCGTGGTGGTTGGCGTAGTAAGTTCTGGGGCCCATAAGATCGAGGAGGAAAAGTGCTGCGACTACCAAAGAGAACGATCCAAGAACAGACGCGTTTACCACTAAATTCCTCGGTATAGAGTCCAAAGATGCCAATTCTAGACCTCCTAGAAATAAAACGTTAATTTTAACTAGAACTCGAATTTGGTCGACTGTAGAACAACGTGTTTGAGATACACTTACCTAGAATTAGGAAGAACAGTAACCCGAAGCCAAGAAAAATTCCTTCCAATATCCGTCGTCCCCGCGGGATCTCTTGGAAGATTCGCGCTATTATCAAGCCGAAAGTTATTATTACGTAACCTGTAAAAAAATAAAATTTGTTTTACCAAACTCGTAAATGACTCATGTCTACGTAACTAATAAAATGGCAAACGCAAAATAAGTCGTAGGTGAAATAATACTGGCAAAAGGTTTTCATGGCAAATCCTTACATGTTTCAGTGCCAATTTGCTTAGAATTGAGATATTTAAATGTCATAGCGTGGGTTGGTGATACATGGTCCAATACAGCAGAAGCTTTTCCTCGCAAGACGTTGTAAAATATAACATATAAGACATTCTATATGTGATCTGATGTTTGCAAGTAGGTATTTATAAGAGGAAGTAAAATCAATGTCACAAGCAAGTAGATGTAAATGCAATGCATTACAATTAGCCTGTTCAAATGAGTTTAGTATGCATGATATACGTTTAATTGCATTTAAACAGGTGACGTGATTTAAACCAACTATATTATTGATTTGATCTAGCGCGTACAAAGAGCGACTTTAAAATTGCTGGCAAATAACATTACTAGCCTCCATAAACAGCGTCAGCGAAGGCGCCGCCAACAGAGTCCCATGTGACGGAGGTGAGCAGCGACCATTCGCGCGATAGTTTCTGCAGCAGCAGAGCCAAGCGAGCCTCATCGTCTGACGACACGCGCTTCGTCACCAGGCACGACACGCAGAACACCTACCGAAATATGTCACAGAAATAACTACGTATTCGTAAGAACATCAAATAATTTTGGTTTACAAATAACATCCAGTTTAGCCCTATTTATCCAACCCTTCCCTTAATATTTTTTTTTTCATGAAAGTTGGAAAATGATAACAAAGATGTCCTGGATTTGGACCTTAAAAATTTATTTAACTACAAATTTGTAATATGATGCTATAAGGACGTTATCAATGTTTAAATAACCTAGCACGCTTACATTACTATTTCATACAAAATACCAAGTGATTGATCGTAGAGTTATTTAAAAGATTTTTCGTCAAAATCATAACCCATGTTTAAATATAGTTATAAAAACATACCGAATAATAAATCTAATTTTAAATGATAATTAAATATAATCCTTTGTTATAAAACCACTATTTTAATAATGATGAGAAAAAAAGGTTTTATGCAAAAAAAACCCTAACATAAAGATATTATTTTTAGCCATAGACTATTCTTTAATACTCTTGTTTTAAATCAAAAACGTTTGACCGACGACCGAAATAGTCCATAGTCCATACATATCCATAACTAGTTTCAATTTTCAAATTATAAGATTATATAATTTCCCTATCCCAATCTTAAACAGATTTATTTGGCCATCAATACTAATGCTTCTTGTGTATAAAACATTCCATGTTGAAATGATTGTAACCGTGTCTTGGTCACCTATTACTTCACATCGTAAGTTTACGTTGCGTAGGCGCGTGCACATTCGTTACGTCGTGTCAAACTTATGTAAATTATTGACCATGTTCTATGGCATTAGGTTAAACAATAAACCATAATTCAAAAGACTTTCAAATCTTTAAGTTTTCTTGTAATAAAGTGTAAAATAAACAGCATGTACTTTACTAAATTCTAACCGTGTTTCCAGTGTGCCACTGCCAACTGTTCGAAAACAGTGACAATGGAAAAGATCCATTTTCTAAAAAAAAACCAGAGAGATGCTAATTTTTTTCTTTACAGTTGTTACTGCACTGTGAACATTGAAACCTGAATTAGTAATTTTGCTTATATGACTTCGATCATTTAATTGTTATTCAGACATCGTTTAATTTTTAAATTATTGTTGTAAGGTAAAGTACGTAAATTATAATGAATGCATCGCATAGGGAAAACACCGTACCAACGCCATAAAACGTTTGTTCAAAGTCGTTCCCACGATGGACAGTGCCGTCAAAGGCAAAAGACACTTAACTTGGAGGACTTTGTCCAACCTACCACTAGGTCGTTGTACCATCGTATTGTTCATTGTTAAGAATTATTAGTATGTGTCCTGTAATAAGTTTGTATCATTTTTTTGATAGGTTATAAAATCGCATTTTCATTGTAGACCGCTTCATTGCGCCAAATATTCATCTCGTTCCAATCATTAACCAAGAAAATTAAATGTAGAGTACAATTATTTTGTGACATATTAATTTTTGCTGTGACGTATCGCAAAATATTGCTTACTATATACTGCCTATAAACACTTTTTAATAGGAATACATGACATAATTTTCAACAAAATTTCATATGTAATGAGCGGCAAAGAATATTTCCTTTTTAAACATAAAAAAATTCTTCCGTTTTGTCAAGATAAGAGACAGTGTTGTAACTTTTACACAACTATTTTAAGTTAGTAATGTTACTGATAAAACTTATTGCCTACTGCTAAGTCGGCCAAAAACGATAGATAACCTATCCACGCAATACAATTTTGCATAACCAACCAAGGATTACTCATTTAAAGCTTTTTTGCCCCCAAAGCTACTACTTTCTGTCACTCCTAAACAGGTTAATTTACACCACTTCTATTCGAAAAAACTATACGAATAATCGTTGGTTTCTAGAGGCCAAAATCCCTGTATAATTAGAGCCAACGATCAAACTATTCCTCAATGGTCTCAATACTCTTGTGGTGTTTGGTTACTGGTAAACACAAAACAAACGTATATTCATCAAATCGCGTTCTGTTTAGCTCAATGTCTTCCCTAGTTAGAATTCATTAGTCTCTACCCATATTCGATAATTGACTCTTACATTAGGAGTATATTCAAAACAAATTAAAGATATTTTAAGTAAGCTAATGAGTCACAGTGAGACAATGTCATTCATATTCATAAGAGGAAACTATACGTTATTATGTAGTTACTTAACAAATAATTTGTCTAAGCCGTGTGAATACTACATTGAAAATAATTACTTACAGCAGAGAATTTAATTTACAAATTATTATGTTCTTGAGTTTCTTCAATTCTTTACCGTAATATTAATTAAAAATAAACAAACTATTAACAGGTACTAGATAAAGATACCTTTATCAATATAAGACCCTAAACCACGACTGTTATGAACTTTAATATTTTTTTTGGTTGTTACCACTAAAGAAACATAGTAAGTTTCACTGAAGAAATATAAACTTTTTCTTTATGTATGCTTATTACCCAACTGATAGAGGGTCGTATTTTTCGCACGGATGCAACTATGTTTTATAATATGTATGTGGGTGTGTATTCCATTGTAGATGGTCTACAGCCTAAACGACTAATCTGTTGTTGAAGAATAAATCTGCACAAATTCAAATAAAAATAGTCAAAAAAAAGTTCGAATCTCACTCGCCATTACATTTCTTCATTCTATATTACCTAATCTCGTTTTAACGCAGTCGATAGAGGCTATTTCATGAGTCTGTTATTAGTTTTTTTTTTCAAATTGTGGTTATTTTATTTCAATTAGTTCATGTAAAAGTTCAAATCTCGTATTTTGGTTTAAAAAATGTCAGTGATACAATAAAAGCTGAGCGGAAATTAATTAGGTTTCAAAATTATTTGAATTTCAGTAATAATTTAAAAATAAGACTAATTTCCATTTTCTCCAAAGCATTTTAAATATACTCACGAACTCCACTATCTTAAGCGCGACCCATTTGTCACAGACCGGCATCGCGGCAGATAGCGCGACCGTCGGTTACACAACACAGAGGACCAGCCGTCACAACACTGACATGCCGGCGTCAAGCTTAGTTCCCACAGCGCACGGCCGCACCGCACCAGCGCACACTCACGTCTGATACCGACCTCCACCAAAGACATCCGCCACCAACAAACTGCTATCGACCAAAAGCCCAACACCAAAAGCAGACACCCATCACCAAGGGACACACGCACAAGAAATAAAACACCAAAGCCACACATTAAAACATTATACTTAAATTTATTTAATTAATTCACTGGCATGCAATAATCATGTTAAAAACTAATAAAACATCGAGAGATAAATTCATATTTTCGAACTACAAAAGGTTTAGATTTTGCCAATTTCATAATGCTTGTATACTCTATTATTGCAGAGAAAACAGTTCCAAATTGATTTAAGTTCTTAAAACCTGATTTTAAATATACTTAATTGATACACAGAAATAGTAAACTACAATAAGATGAATATTTTCTTTGAAAAAAACTTCAAAAACTTAGATATATCCCCGTGCGGTTATCTTATGCGAGAGCGGAGCCCTCGCTCCGCCGCGGTTGCACTTAATTCATATTCTAAATGATTAAACAATGAAAAACCACACGCTTAAATATATCCATTTCGTCTTACAAAAAGCATAAAATTTAATACATTCAATTGTACTTTCCAATTAGATTCTTAATTAAAATATAAGTTTAAATTAAAAATTTCTAAAATATTTTATTTTACCTCTCTTGTTTTACAGCAAATGCAAAAGGGACTTTACGAGAAGCGTAGGCTAGACGAGCGACACATGGGTGGTCACCCAAGCAAAAAAAAGCAACAGCTCACAAGCTTCTCAATGTCGCCGTTTTAACGCCAATTAGTCACAGGAATAGGACAGTACTATCAATTAGCTTTATCTGGTTTTGAGGTTAATTATCTATACGAAGAGCAAAGGCAACTTCCAGTTAAAAATGCTAGATAAAACTGTCCCATGCCATATCCTACAAACTACTGTAATCCCCTCGGCATGCAAATTTGAACAATAGAGACGACATTCCTAATTCATTTAAGAAATTAATCAACATTAACAAAGAAACAACATTAAGAAAAATAAATATTGGATAAACTGTGCAGGGCCAAACACCAAAATGACATACATATGTAGAAAATATTTAGTATGCACCAAATATATACTTTGATATAATAATTTCATTTTATATATGTTATTATTACCATAATCATGCATAATCAATGGAATACATAAAATATTTCATTCTAAATTTTTTTGTTAAATAACATCAAGGCCTATTAAAGTAAAACAACCAGAGCACCCTGCACAGTGTTTAATCCAAGGACGACCAACTCACTCCCTAGCCTTGCGGCCAATGAAATCCTGCATCGGATGGTAGGCGGTCCACGGATTGAATTCGCCCGGCGGCGGGGACGGGAACGAGTCAGGTGCTGCCGGCGCGCCGACTCCCAGCTCGCCCAGATCACCCAACCCGCCCATGCCGACATTGCCAGCAGCCGAGGCCAGTGGCACAGTGCCGTTGCGCGTTGCACCTGCTACAGTACCGTTGCATGCACCGGCTCCCGCACCAATATTATATGGAGATGAAGCGACGCTACCATTGCGAGATGCGGGAGTTACGCCCCCATTACGGAATGTAAATGGTTCACCCCCATTACGTTGCAAAGCAGGCACGTAGTCCTCGGCCACTGGGGCAGGCTCGACGGGCGACCACACCGCTCGCTCCTCTTCCAAGCCCAATCCGCCCCCGAGGTTGAGCGAAGCCATAGAGGTCGTAAACAGGCCCATGTCATTGGACATGCTGCTATTGCCCCAACTAATTTAGAAATATTCAAGATTTTAAATTGTGCATGTTATAAATATTCAAACAATAATGATTTTCATTTCTGTCCATTCAGTATAATTATTTGATTGTGTATAACTAACTCAGTGTGAGCGGCCGTGTTGCGCTGCGCCGCCTCGTGTATCATGCGCATGCGGCGGACCTGCACCCAGGGCTCCAGCGAGTACGAGGCGGCGGCGGCGAGCGGTGGTGGCGAGCCCATCTCCTCTGCTGTACGCACCAGCTCCACGCCGCGTTCGGGGCTCCAGCGCCCGACCTGACATTTATTTAAAGTATTAAGCTTGATAATGGTCAAACATAGGATCGACTATCATAACAAAACAGATGTGTTACCTCACGATACTGGCGCAGCAGCTGCGGCGACTGCGGAAGGGACCAGTCCACGACAGGGCGCGCGCCAGCGCCCCAGGCCGCCGAGGCCGCGGCCACTAGCGCCTTGCGCGCGATGGCGGCCCCGCGATGTGAGCGGTACTCCACAATGGCGGCGCATGACGCCATAGAGCGCCGGATGCGCACCTCCTGCACCTCGTCCGTCAGCGCGTACAGCAGCCGTACGATGTCGGCCGAAGGCGTCGTCGACGGGATGCGAGAGATGTATATGCGGCAATTGTTAATCGAGGGGCAGACACCTAGCAACGATTAATTTTATTTTAAAGTAATGTGCCACTACTCTGTTAAAATAGACACAGAAAAAACGACCAACTTTTAAGGATGAATTTATGGTGAAAAAGTTCAAATTGGAACACCAATATCCAATATGTTAGGGGTATTTACGGATTACCGATCTAGCGATAGCGAATAGATCGCGAAAATTTCACCAACTTGAACTTATGCCTGATTCACAAGTATAAGTTAATACAATAGAACATAGTTTAAACACTTTTTACAATTATAGTTTTTTTTTAATTACACTTACCTAGGAGCCAAGCTGGCCTGATCATGTAGTTATTGAACATGCGGATGGCGTTGCTTGCTTCAGCTTCCGTTGCGTACATTGCAAACGCGTACCTATACATCAGTTTGGCGTAAATTCTTCAATATCAAATATTCTTAGAAAACAAAATATCAAAGCTGAGTTTACATAGATAACGAATTGTCGGAACTATAAATTTACTTAATATGAATATTTAATAAAACTTATATACTACCTTGTAATATTAAAAAAAATTACCCTCTGTTCCATCCCGAAAAGTTGATCATGAGGCGAAACTCGAATAAATCACCCGCCCGGCGAAACAGAGGAACCAATGTATCCTCAAAGCAATCATGAGGAATTCTTCCGATAAAAACCTGTGCCATATAAAATACTTATTATAGTCTGACCTTTACCCGAAACAAAAATAAAATCTAACAAAGAAATCATATTTTTCGCAAAATTAACAGCAGGATGGACCCCACGTCTTTGAACGATGAAAAGTACCTGTCGTCGCCGTTCGCAGCATAAAAAGGCCTCCCACATGAAATACTGAAGATCTGGTCAAAGTTACTTAAGGGCGGTCAGCGGAGTAGCAATCTTTAGGGTGACCAATGGAAGAGGTAAAAGCCCTTCATACTAATGTTATGTTTAATAAACTAAATATATCTTGGGCAAAAATGGATCAAAAAGGGCCCTTGAATTGTGGCAGCTAGGAAGCTGTGAGAGCACGATCCGCTCATTTGAAATTGTGTAAAGTACCACGTAATTGTGAAACTCAATGGCCGTAAGTACTTTGTTTTATTTTAAATCTATTGCCAAACATTCCGTAGAAGTCAAAAATGTAAAATGATACGTTCCTTGGGAGCTATTAGATAAATCAAACAAAGAAGCGTAGGCACAGGAACAGTAGATACCTATCAATCAATCGTCCTAACTAACAAGTCAAAACTGAAAATCATTTTACCATTGAAATTACATAGATAAGACTGATGGTCAATCATCCTACTAATATTATAAATGCGAAAGTTTTAATAGATAGATGTATGAATAGATGTTTGATATTACGTTTCTCAAGAACGTTTTCAGATATTTTGGCGACTCTGCGGAAGTCGTTGCACAGAACAAAATTTTAGGTTTAGTTTAGCAGAGCGTTACGGAATCCAGGTTACTGCGCAGTGCGGCGACGACCTTGGGCCGCCAGGATAATTGAAAAGTATACTATACCTCCTGATCAAATATTTCCTGAATGTCAGGAACGTCTATATTTAAGTATTTAAATAATGTGATAATGAAATACTTGTATATCCGGTTGACAATATTTATAAAGTAACCGAGTAAAAAGATACAACAATACAATTAATTACACTATAAATTTATCAATTTTATAGGGATTCAAAATGGCGTACAGTGCACAAAGATATTTGAGGAACCTAAATTACTTTGAACACCCAAAAACCACTTAAAAGCATGTCAGTTAGTTAAATGATTTTCTGGGAGATCAATAAAACAAATTCTAATTAGAATTCAACGATTTATTTTTGTTCTGTTTTCGTCAACTTCAACAATGGCGGGCATTTTGAATTTAATCTCCATGGTTATTCAATGTATGAGCATACATGGTTTTAAATACTTACCTCACATTTTCTAGATGGTTCGGGTCCGTGCCAAGCATGAGGAGCTTTTTTAAAAATTCTCTGCCCATTGATCTGCGTCAAAGTGTAGGAAGCGTCATTTTCGGTTAGCGACAGTAATCTTGATGATAATTCATACTGATTAACGGTACTTGATGAATAATGCTGCCTAATAGGAGACATTTCTATCTAATATACGATTCTTCACTTATATAATTATAATATTTAAATATATTACTGTAGAATACCTATGACACCTCTGGAGAGCGTCAAAAAAGAAATGAAATTCTAGACAACAAATAGATTATGATTCAATAAACAAAATGGCAGTCCGATATTTGACCTTGATAAAAAATCAAATTATGTACACGTAATTGTAAGTTTTTTAAATAAATGCATATTTTCGCTTATAAATAATACAACCTGTAGAAAAAAACTATAAAATATATAACATGTTTAATTTACAATCAGTAATTTTCATTTTAAAATTGAAAGGAAGACAATTAAGCGGATATTCGGTGCAATAGAAATTTAAATTTAAAAAAATTGTTCCATTATCAAGGTATCATATTCTTATTCAAAAGCTCTTCGCTCAGCTTCCGGTTTTCAATTTAAAAACTACATGTTCATTATATTACAAATTATATTTTCGAATTTAAAAGAATTTAAATTAAAAGATTTTTAGAGGATTTTAAACCTATGTTTAATATTCAAGATAACAGATGATTGGCTAAAATGTTTTTAAGTGGATAGTATGCAATGAAACTAAATTAGACATCACTTTATTCAAATCAGTACACTTTTCATTATATTATTACGCACTTACAATTCTATGGTAGATATAGAAACCTATAGCTTAATTGAATATAGTAATTTAATGACGTGTTCTTATTTTGTTATAATATGGATTACTTTTCGTAACTAGATCTTACTTCCATCTAGCGTCAAGTAGTGAAAATTGATTCTATAAAAGGAAACGTTTTCATTCCCTTTTACTTAAAATACCTTAAATTTATCATAATTTATACTGTCGACATATTTTTATATTGCTAAGTTATAAAAAAAAATTGTGGTAGTATTGGTTGATAAAACTCTCAAGTTTTTGTAGTCTTCTCAAGCTCCATCTACAGGTTCGAACAGGTTTCTCTTTTCGTTTTTATTCTATACTAGCGGTCAACCGCATCTCCGTCCGCACAGAATTAAAAAATAACATACTTGCCTATGTGTTCTTCCATACTATATTATATATGTTTGCCAAATTTCCTTAAGATTCGTTAAGCCGTTCTGTGGATACCTTCAAACAAACATCTACATCTAAACATTCACATTTGTAATATTAGTAAGACTAGCGATGGCTCGCTACATTACATGTAATTTAAAAAAGTAGCATATAACATTCCCGCGTGCTATAATACTTCTTTACGAAATACATTTCTAATATTAAATGTGTGCAATAAAAAGTAAAAGATAATGGCATTTTATTAAAATTTGTGAAAAAAAGTGTGAACTCTCGGAATATAAAATAAATTTATTTGATACTTGTATGATAAATATATTGAAATAAAATTTACATAAAACTCTTAATAACAATGATTTGTATGAGCTGTGCTAACACGTTACAAAATAACCATGGCTTTAGGCTTTTGACCCTTTGCCTCGCAATTTGACTCATATCTAAGCTACTCCTTAATTGCATTCGTAATATATAAACACGTCTTGTTTTAGGATTCATCCTTAGTATTTGCGGTTTGGTAAAATATTCCAATTTCTTTTGGTCCAAGAGCGTCATTACTTTCGAGCTGATTGCCGGTATCGCTTCAAGCTCTAGTACGCTTATTTGTTCTTTTGGGATACCTGTGGAAAGAATGAATTATAATAGTATGCAAAATTAATTCAGTGGCTTGGCAGATAGAAGACGTCATAATACAATAAGTCAATTAGGTAATATGGGATATTTGAAACAGGATTTTCTTTAAATTGTCATCAAATAACATCAACTGCAAGATCAACTTTAGTTTATTCACTGTTTATTGTTAAGCTATGGTTGTCGAAGTACCTTTACCTAAGTATAATGGTTAGGAAATACTGAGAAAAACATTCGTCATGAGCGTAGGCATTCAAAAAAAAGGGTCTTGACAGACGAACGGACAACAATTTATTCTATAAGGCTCCATTTTTTTCCTATGAGGTACGGAACCCTAATGAGTAAAAAAAATGACTTTACATGTAAATAATTGGTTAAGACGATTAATTTCATGAGATGACCATTTATACGGTTCTCCATAGGCATCCGGATGAGTTGCGATATCGTATAGAGCCTGAAATATAATAAAATTAAAAATCATTTATGTAAAATAAAACAGCTTCAAATTAAAAATAAAAATAACCTTCTTCTGATTAACATTGCACCGTTTGAGTCTACCCAGGACATCCATGTTTAATTTTTTAAAAATTGTGGGCGTTATCTTTCTAATTTCATATTCGGGGAAACCGCACAGCAAATATCCCAATTCATTTATCCTCGTTCCATTTATGTACCAATCGCAGCCGAAATATCTTCTGTATGCCGCAACCAATACACCAAACTTAAAAATTAACAAATAAAAGTAAGACTAAAAGTAAACCAAATTATCTTACTTCTTAACATTGTCGGAAGAAATAGGTATCTACAATCCACAGTTTTTGTTAAAACGTTTAGAGTTTGGACTACAGAATTACGATAAGATACTCATAATGGAACTTTCTAGATCAGTGAGGCAGAAAAAGACAATGTATTATAAGTAAAATATCGTATTGTACATGAAATTATTATGCAGCAAATACCTTCCGATCATCCAAATTAACGTAATGATTCGTGAAATATTTATAAACTGAATACTCTCCGAAATTTACATAGTACAAATCTTCTTCTGGCACCACATTCAACAGAAGCCCGAAAGCAAGAAATTCTCGACCCTGTAAAAATGCTGCTGTTTTTCCATCTGAAATTTCAATACGTAATATTTGAGCATCCTCCCATCCCATTAAAAACTTCTTAGGGTTAAGGAATACCACCTCTTCAGGTCTGCGAGGTCCATGTTCAAGCCGACACAGATGTTTTCCGGTTTGAGTGGGTATTTTGATTTTTTTTAAACAAGATGATGAAACGAAAGATTGCTACCGCATGTTTTGTTTTTCCTCGTTCCCAAAGTCATAAGAATAGGCGTTGTTTTTTTGCCGCCAGTGTTAAGGGTTCGGGACTTGGTTTCTAGAAAGTTAGCAGACTAAATCCAATTACTCATAGTTATTCCCCCTTTTTTCAAGCCTTTGTAATAATATAAGCACTCAGTCACCTGTTATGATATCCCAAGCTAATAGGGCTCTAGTAATTGGTATTAAATGTTTCTTTGTGTGTATTAATAGATGTAAAATAGTTTCTGGGTCAAGTCTTAAGAACGAGCTCGGAGGTCCAAAGAATATCATGTTCATTGAGTGCTCAACTCTTAAATGATTATCCATTTCTTCGTAAAAATCATCATATGTGTTGGTATCTAGATAGATATGAAAATTCATTGAATAATATAATAATTTGTTACTTTGAGCTGATTAATCTGTAATAGTAATTTGTTTGTATTAATACCTGTCTCGGAAATGGCTATCATTGAATTCTTCTCATCTTCATAATCTAAACTCATTTCCTCAATGGTCTTCCGTTGATCGATTTTGGGCTGCTGGCACAGAGCTAAAATTGAAGGTAAAAATAAAGAATTCAATTGTTTTTAGAACGAATGCTTGGCAGGAATCCCCGTCATATGTTGTCTCCTGGAACGCGCTTAAGACCCTTGCTCTGGCACGGTAATAAATAGCGCCTGTGCGATTGATGCCGTAAAAAGCAACTATCTAAAACTATCATCGCAATAAATAACTATTTGTGTTTTCTGCAGCTCGCCTATTTATTGATCAAATAGTAATACTTCACTTGAAGGATAGTTTTATTATTTTATTTACCTGCATGAAAGATTAAGAAAATAATACAGTTAATCATTACTTAAAATGATATTATTAACTTACATTATTTTCTTTTGATAATCCAGATAGCCACGGTTTCAATTAAAAAAATATATATATATTTATTTACGCGCGGTAAAGCTTGAAACGGAACGTTGTCCCTGTCTCACTCATCTGACATTTCGTCTGACATGTTGACTTGATGTTGACATCCATTGACATCACTAGTAAATAACCTTACTTCTCAATTCTATAAGCTTCGATAATTTGAAGATATTCTATTTATTTACTAATCATAGTTAAAAATTAAGAACGTATCGTTGAAATGATATTTAAATTACTGAATAATTAGTGCATATTGTCGTCATAGAATAGTTATTTGTAAGTTTTCAGAAGGTTTAACGAAAACTTGAAGAATGGGCATTTTAGAAAAGATTTCAGAAATCGAAAAAGAAATAGCAAGGACACAAAAGAATAAAGGTAATTTACATCCTACAGTTAACGTATCTTCTTAGTATAAATAATAAAAAGATTAGGTTATAGTGCTTAAAAGTCAAAGTTCCAAGTAGATCATTTTATTTATTTTTTGTATAAATTAATTAAAATATGGACAATTAACACAATTATAGGGTTTCACAATTTTAATATGCAGTTACAATGACATTTATTTTTTACAGCAACTGAATATCACTTGGGTCTTTTGAAAGCAAAGCTTGCAAAGTATCGTTCGCAGCTTTTAGAGCCATCAAAGAAGGGTGGAGACAAAGGGGAAGGTTTTGATGTATTGAAGTCCGGTGATGCTCGAGTGGCTCTTATTGGGTTCCCATCTGTGGGAAAAGTAAGTTTTAAAACATATCTTTTTAGGATCAATATTTTATTTAATAAATATGAATTGACTGATGGTGAATTTTAGAGCAAATTTGCTTTTTTTCTATACTTCTCTCTTCCATCCAATAAAGGTGACATCTGCAACTATTTAGCTTGTTACAATGTGGATGGGCAGTGGTCACTTCACTAATTTTGCAATATAAACTGGCCATTCTACTAATAAATAAAAAATCATACTAATAATATAAATGCAAATGTTTAGATGGATGGATGTTTGTTTGAAGGTATCTCCAGAATGGCTGCATGGATCTTGCTGAAATTTAAAGTAGATGTATAACACAGTCTGGAAGGATGCATAGGTTATTTAAAAATTAAGCTTTTTTATTATGTGCTGACAGAGTCACTTGCGACTGCCAGTATGCATATAAAATGATTATTGAGTCATTGAAGAATCACCTTACTTAAAAATTAAGATGTGTGCAATGAATACTTCTTTATGTATAATTACAGTCAACTCTGTTATCTACACTGACACACACACATTCGGAGGCTGCCAGCTATGAGTTTACAACATTGACCTGCATTCCCGGTGTGATTGAGTATAGAGGTGCCAACATACAGCTGCTTGACTTGCCTGGAATTATTGAAGGTGCCGCACAGGGCAAGGGTAGAGGAAGACAGGTATATATTTGTATCACATTCTAATTGAAACTCTATAGTATGTAAACAGAAGAACATTAAATATGAACAAAAGTTAAGATGTGGGCTCACTGGCTGCATGATTTAAATAAATGGTACAGTTTGTTTCCATTTATATTCTAAATAATTACAACCTTAGATTAACTGCACATTTTAATTCTCCACGGAGTAATAGCAATTAAATTAACAAATAAATTTTTAATTGTGACTGTAATATCATGTGATATTAATTAGGTGATAGCGGTGGCGCGCACGGCTGATCTGGTGCTTATGATGCTGGACGCCACCAAGCCGTATGTGCACCGCCAGCTGCTTGAGAAGGAGCTGGAGAGTGTCGGCATCAGGCTTAATAAAAATAAGCCTAATATTTACTTTAAGGTAACATTATATGCACTTTGTAATGACTAGACTACAAAATTAACTACTAATTAAATACACAAGTCAATTTATACCATGGTAATCCCTTTATCTTACTAATATTATATATGCAAATTTTTGGACAGATAGATGGAAGTGTGTTTGAAGGTATCTCTGGAAAGGCTGAACAAATCTTGTTTAAATTGGCCATAGATGTATAACAAAGTCTGAAACTTAAGCTACTAATTAAGTTTTTTTAATGCTGCGCATACAGAGTCGCGGGCGATAGCTATTCTTTAATATAGTTACTGCTACTTTTTACTATGCGATGAGATTAAATATTTTATTATTTTTTTATACAGGTGAAGAAAGGTGGAGGACTGTCATTCAACTCTACATGTCAGCTCACCAAGGTTGATGAGAAAATGGTGCAAATGATACTACATGAATACAAAATATTTAATGCTGAGGTAGGATTTAATTTTTTAATTATAGATTAACTGTAAATAAATGCTAGTTCGTTAATGGTATTGCTTAGCTTTTTTTGATATGTCCTTTACTGCTGAAGCATAGCAAATCATACTAATATTATAAATGTGAATATTTGGATGGATGTTTGTTACAAAGTATCTTTAGAACAGCTTCATGGATGTTACTGAAATTTGGCATAGATTTAAAACATAGTCTGGAAGAACACATAAGCTACTTACTAAGTTTTTTCGGTCGGAGTCGCGGGTGGCAAATAGAATTTTGTTCAGTCTACTGAAGTTATTATGTTCTCATGAAGGTGCTATTCCGTGAAGACTGCACTGCCGATGACCTGATCGACGTGATCCTGGCCAACCGTGTCTACCTTCCCTGCATCTATGTTTACAACAAGATTGACCAGATCTCCATACAAGAGGTTGACAGGATAGCGCGCGAGCCACACTCCGTTGTCGTCAGGTGATATTTCTTTTTTTTTTAAATAAGAAAAAGATATTTGTATGTCTCAATATATTTGGTTTTAACAGAAATTTTATTAGATAAAAATGGATCTGGTAAAAATTATTTTCTGAAATTAAATACAGTCGAACTTGGATAAGCGAGAACCAAAAGGATTGTCATATTTTTCTCCCATATAGAAGTTACTCTCCAATTCGAGTTTCTCGCTTATGGAGGTTGTCGACTGGTGCTATATTTCTAACTTATAGAGGTTTCTTGTTTATCCCGGTTCAAAGTAACATAGAATAATATTCGCAAAAAAATACATATAAGCTGTCTTTAAATAACTTGTTATAATTGTACAGTTGCAACATGAAGCTGAACTTGGACTACCTACTGGAGATCCTATGGGAATATCTCTCCCTTATCCGCGTCTACACTAAGAAGCCCGGACAGCCGCCAGACTTTGACGAGGGCCTCATTCTGAGAAAGGTAAAGACCTCCTTATACAATTAGTACAAATAAAATATTTTCAATGGCGAATTCATCTTTTAAATGTTTGAAATAATAAAATCCTAGATAATATATTTTAACAATGATTCAAATTTGGTAGAATAAAGTAGAAAAATATGATGGTCCCTTGGAATATCGCTTATCCAGGTTCGACTGTAATTGGTTAAAAATTAAAGCACCACTGATTCAACGACCACAATCCGCTATTGGTATGGCTAGTTATGTTTAAGAAATCTAAATACACTAAGGGACCGCTTAGTAATGACTCTGAGTGATAGTTGGTGTGATATAAATAAATTAAATTTTATATGGAAGGGAGTGAGCATCGAACACGTGTGCCACTCTATCCACCGGTCGCTGGCGGCGCAGCTGAAGTACGCGCTGGTGTGGGGCACCAGCACCAAGTACTCCCCGCAGCGCGTCGGTGTATCTCACGTGGTGCACGATGAGGACGTCGTGCAGCTCATCAAGAAGTAATGAAGGTAATACGCACCATGCAGTTGCCAAACCGAGCAATATTTTTTTTTACCATGAACATGGCGGATATATATTATTTTACTGTCTTGAATTATCTTTGGTTCAGCTTTAAAGTAAATAGATTTAAAATACACTGCCGTTGAGCAAAATTGAGATTCAAATATTCTTGAGTTTTTCCGAAGAATTAAAAATTTCTTTATTGAAACAAAGAAGTATTAACTGAGTTTTTTTTTTGAATGAGATAACTTTAAAACATACTATAATTGATTTTTTTTCTACAGTTGCAGACACTGGAGTGTGATTTGGTGGTCACTGCCGCTTTACCGTGAATTTCCACTGCCGCATACATCTGTACAAAAGCATTTATTTTTTTAAGTGAAAGAGAGATGGTAATTTTGTAAAAATGTTTCGACAGTGGAAACTCGCGGTTATACAGAGCTTGAGAATGTTGAAAGTTTATAAATTCGACTAGCAATAAAAAAATACTTATAGCACATAACACACTATGACATATTTGTCTAAAACTAGTGATTTTTAACTATAAAATTCATAATGACTTTAATTTATAAATTCTGATCATGATATAGTGTAACTTTACTGAATTATAGATTAAAAAAAAAACAATTTGTGTTTTTTATTCACAATTTTTTATGTTATAAGGTGGCAAACGAGCAAGTTTCCTCCAGACTACGCCGTAATAGCGAAGCGACTGCTGCCCACAGATATTAGCAATTACAGATGTGTTGCCTGCCTACCTTTAATCAATGGAGGATGGGAGGCACAAAAATAGTTCAACTTCCCCTTCCCATCCTTTCTATACAAAATGGTGGGAAGTGGACCAAAAATTCGGCCTCCTACACCACACTCATTAGAAGAAACGCGGAATTGCTTCCAATTGACGCCTGTCTTCTGTGTGGTCTTGGTATTGTACCAGGCGAACCAAATCTTGCAACTGATCTAGTTTTTCCTGGCGTCTGTTTTTTCTCTATCTATATCATCATTCTTAAAATTATCTAATTGTTATAAAAATATTGTCATAGTGTGTTTAAGTAACATTTGTTGGCGATTGTACAGGAAACACCATTTTGTATATAATGTGGTTTACATTTTTGCATTGTAATAAAAGTTTTTTTTAAATGCCATAATTGTTTCATTTTTAAATTAGCTTTTTTATTATACTGTCACTTTATCTTGTAAAGAATGACAAAAATAAAACAACTCTTGTATTATAAATTAACTTTATTCCCCATTTTACTAAATTAACATAAATATTTTAATAGTTTGTCCTTACTACCAAAGTGCAAGTATTAACACATTCCGGACCGATTCGATTTTCTCATACTAAAGTCATAGGTTGCATTGAAAGTGTTAAATAATACTTTTACAGGCTGTTACTACTATCAGTAGCGAGCAAATCACTTTCAACATTAGCAAGTGACCAGCGATGTTCAGTTATCTCTAGCGCCTCCCACTCAGCTTTGAAGGCAGCTTTTGGATCTGGAGGCATTGCCATTGCTGCTCCGGACATTTGTTCTTGCATCACCTTAGACTGATCAGCGGCTAAAACAATCAAAGTTTTTTTTAAACAACTTTGACAGAACTCTTTCTCTCTCTCAAGGTGCCTCTCCATTAAATGGAGGTTGGCCGTCAACTCAGTGAACTTGACAGAACTAAAACAATGAATTTATACTGTGTATGGTGTTGAGAAAAATATTGTTGATTGAAATATATTAAATATATAAAATGTAACAACACATACAAAGGTAAAAATTGTAAAGCAAATGTAATATATACCATTATTTTCACCCAATACAAGTGTGTATATGGTCCGTAAACCAAATACGTTGAGGAAGTACCAGGAGGCAGAAGACACCCAGGATGCATCAAGATATGCCAACTCCACTCCGCGCTGGAGCATCGGCTTGAATCTTAAAGTCAGAGGGAATGGTACCTTGGCTGGAAAATTAAATATTTGGTTAAATTTAGTCCAATTCTATACCAACAAGTGTAGCATTTCAGAATATGACAAACTAAACACAAATGTTTGTAATATTTTCTTATTTTGTATATAAAAACATAATATTAACTTGTAAGAAAACCACTGAACATCCAGTTGATCCAGCCTCCAATAACAATCATTGGCAGTACATTAGTCACATTTCCTTTCAACATATCAGTCATCATGCCAGGGTCGGTCATTGGGTTCTGTAAACAAAACAAAAGCAACAGCCTTGTAATTGACCAATAAGTCATAAACACAATATCAAGAAGTCAAGGTATATACCTGTGAAGCAGCAGCTCTTTTCTGTACTTTAAAATAGCCAGTGTCTTCATTATTGAACCAGTATCGGCGCATGGCGAACGATTGTCGTGGCAGATATTTGCCATTCTCACGCAGCAGCCGAGCCCTGATCATAACTTGGCTGCAAGAATTTACAGATATCATGAGCACATAACATTTTTGTCACCACAGTTAAATTAACAGAGTTAGACTTTTTACCTGTCTTGCACTTGCAATAATTCAATTTTCTTCTGAGACGATAAAATAATCGAAATATAATGCCTTACAATTCCAACGAGGAAGGTGATAATTACTATGGGCAGAAACACCCAAACACGTATATTAGGATCCAGTAGTAATTCCGTCATTTTTTTAAATAAAGTAGGACGATTAAACTTTAAGTGGTTATATGGAATTCAAGCTATGGTCATTCCTATTCCATAAGGACCTATTAATTTAATCTTTTTAAATTAGAATTCGAAGCTATTACCAAAATCATTCTCATCAATCGTGTGAATGTGACAGATGACAGCGGAAGTGGTCAGGTCAACGTCACCGTGACAGTGACAGCCGTCAGTAAAGAGAAAACCACAATAATTCAGGAAAAATCACAGACAATAAAAAAGTTGTTTGCATGTACGTTTATGGCTGACTGATGTCTGACACTTGACATACCTTTTTTGCTTTAAAAAAAAGTTTTTAGTTGAGGTTTGTTTACCATGTTTACAAATGCGTTGATTTCGAAAAATTTAATTAGGTACATTTAAGTTATAAAGTGTTCCAAAACCATATTTCCAATAGCCATAACGTATCCCAGCCAAATTCTAAGTATAATATTTATATTTATCTAATCGACACATCTAAAATCATTTTCTCTAGGGTCGAAACTTGTTTGCTAAAAGTTCTACAAAATAGATATTTAAACATTAAAATGCCGCGAGGCAGACCACAACAATCTAAACACCAAGATAAAAAAGAAATTAAAAGCGAAACAAATAATGTCAAAACATTAAAACAGGAAGCAATAAACAAGGAAGAAAACAGTTCGAAGATAGACCTAAATAAATTTAAATTTGAAAAGAAACCAACAATAAAAATTGAGTTTGAGAATGATGATGAAACACATAAAACTGTAGCGGTATAAAATTAAATTTTATAATTGTCGATAATTATTGTTAGACATGTAATCCAACATTGATAAAATTGCAGGATAATAAAGGCCTATGGGAACCGCCTAATTGGAGACGTTTCCTGGACAACTTGAGAAAGATGCGTTCCAGTAATGATGCTCCAGTAGACTCAATGGGTTGTCATATGACTATGGATGAGAATGCACCACCTAAAGTAAAATATTCCCTCTATTTGTTTTTTAACAAAGGTTTTATTTATATGTTGAGTATTCTGGGGTAAAACATGTGAAGGGGATTATAAAAAAACCTTAGTAGCTCATGTGTTCTACATCTAAACCAAACATCACCCAGATCCATGTAGCCGTTTTCTAGATACCAAAAAACAAATCTATCCATACAGAACTTTCGCATTTATAATATTAAGTAAGATTACTTTTCTAGGTAATAAGATATCAAACACTTATATCCCTTATGTTATCAAGTCAAACAAAGGATCAAGTAACTTTTGCTGCCATGGAGAGATTAAAAGAAAGAGGCTTGACGGTTGACAATATTCTTGCAATGACAGATGAAGAATTGGGAAAATTAATTTATCCTGTTGGTTTTTGGAAAGTATGTTTTTAAATTTGCTATTTAAGAGTGACTGTACTCCATTTAACACATTCTAGCCTACTAGCCTATTTTCACATAAAATGTAGAGGCATAGAATGTTAATTTAGTAAGAATATGTATTATATTTAAATGGTTTCTGGTTTTTCAGACAAAAGTGAAATATATAAAGAAAACAACACAAACACTAAAAGAGCAATATGATGGCGATATACCAAATTCTGTTGAAAAACTTTGCAAGCTTACTGGCGTGGGTCCAAAAATGGCACACATTTGTATGAAAGTAGCTTGGGATAAGGTGACTGGTATTGGTAAGCATTAAAAAAGTTGCTGTTAAATATACAAAAAAAAATGTAAAGAGTAAATAAACAGAGTCAAATAAAAGAGATACATTTAGAATGAAAGCTTGTAAATTTTAAGTACTATTGTAGGCAAGACTAGTATTGTTATTTTTTTTTGCATGAAAGTGAACTTGTATCACCATCTCAAAGGCCGGTAATGCATCTGCGGTTCATTTGATCTTGTAGATGTCTATGAGTTGATGAACACCTTGGTATTCCCGTTGCTTGTTTCCCCCCTCTTATAAAAAAAGTTGCCAGTAGAGTTGTGGGCATTATTATTATAAGCATTATTACATTTAAAAATAAATTCCTTTTCAGGTGTTGACACTCATGTTCACAGAATAAGTAACAGAATTGGTTGGGTCAAAAAACAAACAGCCACACCAGAGGATACAAGAAAAGCTCTTGAATCCTGGCTTCCATTTGAATTATGGAGTGAAGTAAATCACCTAATGGTAGGATTTGGTCAAACTATTTGCTTGCCACTTGGACCTTCTTGTGATAAATGCTTGAACAAAGATATTTGCCCATCAAGTGGAAAATTAAAAAGATCCCCAAATAAAAAGTCACCATTGAAAAATACATCAGAAAATGTAAAAGAAAATAAATCAGAAATTATCAAACAGGAACCATTGCAATCATCACAAAAAATAAAAGTGGAAAGTTTAATGGTTGAAGAAAAATATGATAACCTCCAATGTAGTCATGAAACTCAATCACAAAATAATCCAATTTCTGAAATTGAGCCTAAAGATAAGAATGTGTCAACACAAAAAAGGCTATTAAAAAGACAATCTCCAAGAAATAAAATAAGCAATGATAATGCAACTTTAACTGATGTTAATGAATCTAATATTAATTTAAGAGTAAAAAAGAAGAAATCATAGAAGGATTAGTGATTCTGATTATTTTATTTTGTAAACCGTAAATTACTACATTTTACTTGTTTTGTTGATTGTTATTCAGTTTGTGAGCTAATTAAGACTATGATTATTGAAGGTAAGATAAGGAAAGTCATAATTAGGAATGTTCATTGTTTTAAATCATGTTTCAATACTTTAATTAAAATAATAATAAAATGTAAACATATTAGAACCTTTATTTCACTTGTTTCTTTTTATGACTCTTTTTCCTTGATTTATTCTTTTTTGAATCTGATTTTACCTTTGCTATATGACCTTTTTTTTGTTGAGATTTTTTCTTATTTTGTATCCTATCTAATTTACTTTTCATTTGAAACACTTTACTCTTTTGGATCTTCTTTGTTGCTTGCCTTTTCAGCATTTGTTTTACTTCCTTTTTAGTTTTTAACTTAGTATCATTTGTTTCATTAACATCATTATCTACTTCTGAAGCTTCTTCAACACTTTCCTCATCGGAACCCATGCCTGGTACTTTTTGTGGTAATTCTTTCTTTTTCTTTATATATGTAACTTTGTCAACAGTTTGTTTTGGTTTGTTATCTCCTATGACTATGTCTTTTTTCTGCAGTGTATCTGCTGACAGCTCAACTATTTTTACATTGACATCCTCATCTTCATATTCTTCCTGAAGTAGCTGCTCTATATCAGGTATAGGGCGGCTCGATACCACGAGTTTTTTGTATGATTCCTTATTCTGAAATAATAACACATGTTAAATATTAATTAAGCATAATATGAAAACTTATCTATGGAAGTTCACAATCATGTACTTTTGTACAAACATAGAAATTACTTTCTACACTAAATATTTTCAAGATCTACTAACCTCTTGTCTTATTCGTTTTTTTTCTTCTTTCAACATTCGTTCCATTTCTTCTTTCGCCTTCTTTTTCCTTTCCAGTTTACGTTTACGAAAACCACATAAAAATTCTCTGGAAAGAACAATAACATTAACATTAACTATTCTTTAAATAATGAACCACCAGATGATTGGTGGTTACTTTGACCAACAATCAAAGAGCAATTTAGCTTTATGAAAAGTTTAACCATACTTCCTTTTGCTTTCATCAAAAACTAGTTTAATCTTCTTTTTGTCAGTATTTTTCGTTTTTCTTTTACCCATTTTGTTAAAGGGTGCAAATTGTAGATTATTTAAAATACAAACAAATACCCAAACATAACCTAAGTTTCAACAATAGGTTATGATAGTGACAGATGCGTGACGGTGACAATGACACTTAAACAGTAATACATTTTATGCATTTTCATGCGAGTTTGTGGTGTTAAGTGGTTCAAGCACTTAACTCTAAGATTTTCTTCGAGATCCGTAGCAGTTTATCTAAATCTTTAACTTAAACCTTGATAAGCCTTTATTACTGGAAAAAACATTTATAACATTTTATTAAACTGTTTAATGAATTCCCCGTGCAAATTCTGGCTCGTTTCCAACAGTTTTTAAATACTCACATATGATTGGCGGATCCTTGAAATTACAATTTTTTTTGAGGTATTGCTCGCCCAATCAGCACGCAAGTGCACAATAAAGACGGACTCATCAGCAGCATGGCTGTCAGTATAAATTTGAAGCTTGAACGATGCGCTTCCTTTCGTCACGTTGGTTTTTTTTGTTTGTGCAATTTAACGAAAATGTTATCGTGTGTGATTTTGTGTGGCTTATAAAATGGATCGATTTAGGTGCTGTGACGTGATAATTGCCTTGTTACGCAAGGTAAGACATGGAATATTAATCTTCACTTTTAGAAACTAATATGAAATTTAACATAGTAATGAGATAAATCTGTCCTTATATCTTGACATCGAAAAAATCATTTGAAATCTTAATACGTGTAAGTGGAAATGTTTGGTTGTCTTTAATTAACTATAGCAAGGTCACAATTAGAGGGAGGCAGCGAGTGGCAATGCATTTAATTGAAAAATCAATACTATCATGTCGCACGGCCATATGTTAGCCCGAGTGAACGGTTCGTGTTACATACTACCGTTATTATTCATTTTATTTCCTAAGTTTAACTAAACTCACGCATAGATTCCGTAAACGTATACATTAAACTTTTAGAAATGAAAATGCAAAAATCAAATGCTCAAACTTTTGACATTGGAAATCTGATAAGTTGAAGAAAAATCCCTTCGATTCGATTTGATTATGTTAATCTTATTAAGAGGCATACTGTCAATAGTAATTGTTATTTTTTTATTTACGACATTTGATCAACACATTCCAATGCAGAAATAAATAGTGAAAGATATTTTCTAAAATAGGTATATTTTAAAAAGCCATAAGGCAGGGCATAAATTTCAAGATAATTACTAGATTAGAATGCATTACATTCTTATAGCACTATGTCAAGTATTAAAAAAAACTGTACCTTGCCTTTGACAAATTATATATACCCTATATCATCTTGCTTATAGATAAATGTAATTTGTTTGTCCTTTATGACCACAAATGTTAAATGCAGTCAACATAAATTTTTATTTGTAATCCATAAAACTCTTTTGTAAGAAGTATTTATGTGGATTACAATCATTAATGGTGGAAATTTTACCTGTGTGCTTAGCAAAACTAAATAACTTTTGATTGCTCCAAGTTAAAGAAAATTATACCACTCTTAGTTGGAAAAAATAAAAAATTATCAAACACAATAAAGTGTAAAACAATACATTAAACCTTAAGACATTAGAAACAATTAAACTTGATGTTACTTAAGTATTAATTATGCAAAGCCTGTACAGTAATGTTCCGATGTAGAATAATTTCACTTATAGTACTAGAAAATAATAATAGTAATATATTTACTGACAAAAATGCAGCTACAAAATAAAATGTTTACTAGAAAGATGATGTTTCAAACAAAGTACAATTCTTTGATATTAATTAGGATGTAAGTGTATATTTGACATTATTATAAGTTTTGATGATAATTTGGTGAACATGTTATAAGAAAAAAACACTTCCAAATATAAAACTAAGTGCTTCAACTTCAATGCAACATAGTGTTTGATTCGGCAGTGAGGTAAATTATTTAAAATTTGAACTTTATTATAATAGACATTATGTGGGATTAACTGGATGTAGATAGGGATTTGTTCTTCACCTACCTCCAAGGATGATACTTATGTACAGGGTATCTTTTACTTCATCTGGGTCTTCTGTGTGGCACAATGGAGTATTAATGTTGCAACGGTCCTGCTTGTTTAAACTTGCAACAGAACACAAATAGTGTTAATGTAGTTCTTACTTCTCGTAGTTGACTAGATAATGATTCGATATTCTTGCGAAGAAATTTAAAGATGTATATGTATTCAACCAACCTGCACAGAGTGAGTGTGGTTATAAGCTTACTCACCACTCGGGGGTAGGCTCTAACTGTTAATTGGTATATGGGCTTTTGCCGACGTGTGTATGACCTTTGTATCATTTGCTACCAGTGTAGCATAAAACCACATTTGCAATTCAAGATGAAGTTACTAGAATGGCTGATGTTTTTTACTTTAATCACATTTGTGAATTATGTCCGAATGACATATTCATATGGACAATGACCTGTGGTATTGCAAATTGAATTGAATGCAATGCAGTGCAGGGGTCCTGCATTGGGCGTGTTGATTGCTAGCGCGGGAACCAGGGCGCTAGATCCTGATTGTGTCGACGATTATGACGCCTCTCACTGACAGTTGTCTAGTCTGCGGGGTAGTGCTATTCTTACCGTGTTTTGTTTCATGTCGTAATAATATGTTTTTTTTATGTGTGTGTTTAAGTGTTTTGACAATGGAAACTCGCATATAGTTTAAATACCTTATTAAAACAGTGACAAAGTCGTCGGGATTTAGTTCTATTGTGAGGAATATACAAATAAGTGAAGTTTTAGTGATTAAAAGTTGCTTTTTCCGTTATGAATTTTGCAAATAATTTTTCCTTATCCCAATGTTGTTTTGACATTTTCGAGGTAAAAACGCTAAAAAACCATTAATTTTTCAATTAGAAAACTTAAATAAAAGTAGCAAAAGCTTAAATATTATAGTAAAAAATACAGACAAGTTGCTTGAACTTTGTTAGTTCTATTTGAACTTTGCCTTATATACAAGTTCTTTTTAAAGTTTGCATTCATTTGAATCAGGAAATATTTAAAAAATGCAGGTAATAAGTGTTTGCAAATATAACTAGAAACTTGATTTTAAGTGATCACCATTCTTTGTCAGCTCTTTCGTCATAATTGGAGCAAGGAAGACATCTCCTAATACCCGGTCAAATACTTCGTTCAGTAGTAGAGAATTTTGGTACATCCCAAGCCGAATATATCACAAACATCCGTAGGTTCAAATAATGAACGTGTATTCGACGCTTGAACATCTGCAAATGACTTTGTTATTATTTTATAATATAAAATTCTCGTGTCGTAATGTTAGTTACGACGATTCTCCGAAACGACTTGACAGAATTTTATAAAATTTAACTCCATGTTCTGAGAATCGGGTATTATCTATTTTTAAATTCCTCGCAGACAAGTTCGCGGGTGACATAGTGTATATTGAAAATAACAAATGAATCGATTGTCATATTTACGTGTTTTATCATACTATGTGCAAGTACGATAACACGTTGACCCTTAAAAGAAGTTGACAGATTTGGAATAGGCTATCAGCATTCAAATGCCTTTCATACTATCATAACAGGATGTGAATTTGTTTTCGAAATGAAGCAACTTATTTCATTTAATCAAACACTTTCAGTGCCACAATGATTTTTCCCTGTTACACTCAACTCTTAGGTTTAGTTAGTGGCACTGGATGTGTTGAATTCGTTTATACAATTCATCAAAATAGTTAGGTTTCTAAAGGTACACACAAGATCAAACGCTAAGAACCTAAGAAATACGTACAAAAAATTTGAATTTTTTTTTTTACGCAAGCATACAAACCCAAAATTGTGCATGGCTGGCATGCAAAAAGTAATTTTTAAGTTAGTACTTTCATTTATTAAACTTGCAGTATAAGCAGTAAAGTGCAGCGTTATCGGCTGAACTAGCCTGTGCTAATCTTTGTTACCTATACCGGCCACTTGTTATTTACGTTTAAAATATTTGGTTTCACAATGATTTCAAATCCAGTTTATAACGCGGAGAAGAAATAAACGTAACCTTAAAGTTGTTTGTTTTAAATTTTGAATAATACCTTATTTATTTCTCATTAAGAAGCTGTCCTATATTGACGCGAAGTTTTGTTTTTATTTATACTATTTGAAATTAAAATATGTTTTTTTTTGGCATGGGATAAAGCTATTAAAGTTGGGTGTTAACATAATTATGCCATGGAAAATTCCGAAGACCTTTCAAACATTGATTTTCTACGTGATCCAGTAAAGCTGTGGGCGGCATTTGACGATAATCTGACCTTTAACCCTTCCTCTTCCCCTTCTATATCCTGTGAACAATATGATTATTATTTTTCCTACATAAATTTTATTTATTTTGTTAGTGTTGGATATTTTATTCATGTATAGTTTTTCTTTTGCCTTATTATCTTCTAAAATGTTCTAAAGTTTAGTGCGGAATCAATACCTTCGCCTTGCCTTGGAATAGTACACACACAGTCGTGTTCTACTGCCAAAACACTTATGTTTTGTTTTTCAATGAGAGTGAATGGTGTGTTCCTTTTTTGTAAAACTGTTTCATCAGTGAAAACGAACGGTAACACAGAAATGTACAAATCGTTTGTCATGATGACTAGGTGTAATGTATGGAAAAAAATTATTTTGCCAAAAGACAATATTGTACAACGTCGACACTCAGATATACTCGTAATATATCTAATTAGCTGTCGCCCGCGACTCCGTCCGCGCGGATTTAAAAAAAAACTATTGGGCGCAGCGGTATGTTATTTAAAGCCATCCTCTATAAATGGACTATCCAACAAAAAAATTTTTCAAATCGGACCAGTAGTTCCTGAGATTAGGGCGTTTAAACAAACAAACAAGCAAACTCTTCCGCTTTATAATATTAGTATCTGATACGGTTCGTGTCTCATGATGTGTTGTGCAGACCTACAGTTTGCTAAAATTAGTAATATAATGATGAGAAGGTAAAATTCTAATCGATAAAAATATTATTTAAAACTATATATATATATATTACTTAAACCGTACTTACTGCAGTAAGTACGGTTCTTCGCATGTATCTAGCGATTTTTATAACAAAATACAACACCTAAACAGTATGCGTTTGTTTCTGGCTTAGCTCATTAGAATATACATGTTGTGCATTTAAATAAATTCTTTCAATGTTTATTTCGAAAAGATGTCACAATAAACAAAATACGTGTTTTATGCACTTTAAATTCGATGGGTTTTTAAATTTTCTATACACGTTGCATGATTATGCGTATCATTCAATCGATATAAATACATCAGTAAAAATGGCTTACAATTGTCAGTTAAGATCCGTATGCAAATTGTTGTAATTCGTATTGGATTTATCGGAATAGGTTAATGATAAATATTTGTTCATTAAAAACTACAAAAATCGACTGACTAACTCTCCCCTGTGACACTCAGGGGAGAAAGGAAGAGGGGCCTCCCCCATAGTGGGAGCTGACGCAGGCGATGTCGCGGACGAAAGCCCGCCCGTAGCCTCGCCACGATGTGTAGGAGGAACAGAGGCGTTTAGTGAGAATCCCACGTAACTACCCCCCGCCCCCGGGGGACGGAGTATGCATAAAGCATTCCCCTCTGAAAAAAAGGGGAGAAAGGAAGAAGGTCTTTTAGGCTAGAGAAGGTCGGAGATAGAATTTAGATACATAAAAACGTGCATACATAAAAACATTGATAACCGCGGAAACCTTTGCCCTTTTTTAAGTCCATTGTCATGGGTCATGCACTTTCACACACCACATTTTTGAGTAATCTTATTAATGTTTTAAATGCAAATGTTTAGCTGGATGGATGTTTGTTTCAAGGCATCTTCAGAACGGCTTTATGAATGTCATTAAAATTGGGCATAATATTTTTTTCTTAATTCCCCTCGGATAGAGTCGCAGGCGACAGCTAGTTAGTTAAGAATGTATGTTGTATTCAACTCTATCGTTTTCTTTAAAATAATTAAAAACGCTCCCGAAAACTTGACCTTTGTTAGTCCCGGACGCTTGGTCTGATACTAAGATATTTATAGACAGCGGTATGTCCGGAATTAATTCAATGTTATAATATAAATGCATAAAGAAATGCTAAATATCGAATACATGTTTAGTGTCAATTTTTCTTTTGTTTCAGGGCAAGTAAATCAAAGAAAAAGAGGTTGGCGGCCACGACTACAGTATGACGTCAAGGTATGTTCTAAAATATTTCTATTCATGTTTTTTTATGGTACGATTAGCTAATTTACAGAACGAAATACATAATATATTCGGTTTCAATCAGCCTTGTGACTATTATAGTGAATCATTCATTGGCACAAACATTGACTTATTTAGAATGCTGAATCTAAACATTAAATTGGAGTGTCCCTATGTAAGAACAAAACATAAATCGTACCCATCATTTGCTGATAACGAAAACTGATTTTTATAATTTTGTCTGTTCGTTGTCGTCCTTTTATTGTGAAATTGTCGAATGTTTCACCGCTGATGTACGAAAATAGAATTAAGTAATCCGGCATGCAATATGGATTGACGCTTGAGTTGGCACGTCGCGCAGAAGACTACTTTCGTTCCCGATGTGCCATATCGAATACTAGATACTATAATTCTTTGACGTCATCAATGCCCGACCTGACACCCACAACCTTCATCGATCGTACTCTTATTGGAACTTGGCCAACTAAAGCAAAGTTAATAGCGTAATGTTTATATAAATATGTCCGAGATTTAAGTGCTCGTAAAAAAGATCAAGAGCCATCTCAACAATAGCACTTCAATATAAGATCTATACATAGCATGCTTATGCTTTACGTAGGAGTAATTTTTCTAGTCTTTTAACAAAGAAAAAGATAGGAGAATGAAATAAACATTAGATCAATCGACCATTTTTTACTATTTTTGGACATTATTAGTTAGAATCATTTAGAGCGAATGGCGCGCTTTCGTTATTAAGTCAAGTGTCAGAATGATTAGTGAGGGGACATAAACGTTGATATTTTAATAAAGCTAGTGTTGCGCCAATACACCGGAACAGGGTCGGATTTTCTTCCTAACACTATCATAAAAGCTGATTTAGTATGATGGTAGTTTTTAACTTTCTTGCCGCATTCATAGTAGTTAAATAGTCTAGTGCTGTAGATTACTCATAAAAGCAACACCAAGGGACCTTTATTGACCCCTCAACGATGAATGCGGCAGTTATAAATCATTTCATATATCTTGGCGGCGCTTTATTTTGCGCGTGTCTTTGCGTAGAACACATTTTTAAGTGTAGCGGGGCCTAGCGGTGTGCGTGTAGCCTCTGCGCAGCGCGCTAATGACCTTGAGCTGCCATATTTGAAAAGATTTATATATCTGTTAAGATTCACAAAGGCAACAATTGTTTTATGACGCAGACTAGACCGTCTGTTCGTGCTGCTGGAGGCGGGCGCGGGCGCGGCGACACGGCGCGCGGCTGCCCGTCAACTGGGCGAAGTGCAGAAGGCGCATCCCGAAGAGCTGCATCGGCTGCTCGGCCGCCTCATGAAATACTTACGCTCACCCGCATGGGAGACGAGGATAGCCGCTGCACAGGTATAGAACACAACACAATGCCTAACAAATAACGAACGCGTGGTGAACTATCCCAAATAGTACTACAGCAAATAATAGTACACAGGTCAAATATATCGGACATAGGAGCAATGAAGTGCACTAAATTGGGCACAAATATTCTAAATATTTTAAGCTACTAATTAAAGTATGTACTTCTTTAAGAACGCATACATTTTTCATAAAATCAAATGAAACATTTCGAAATAAACTCCCAAAAGTTTAGTTTCAACTTTTAGGTCAGATTCAAAGAGGTATTAATTGAATAATATAACTGTGTTCTTAAACTGTCCTTACTTAATTTTCGAATGTTATTAACCATAAATTAATTCTACCGCTAATGGTACAAGTAATATATTTATTTATGTACACATGGGAGTGTCATAGCTTAAATATACATAATGTACTAACAGATGAATATGTTTTTTAAATGTTAATTGAGTAATAAGAATGCGGTCATGTATAATTGTGAAATTGGCTCAGGGTCCGAATTGGGCGTACACCATGTGACATGACACTTTCTTGTACATCGTGTACCGACATGATTGAAAGAAAGATGAACAAGTACCCCGTCAGAGTAAAATGAAATGGTGACATGGATTTTATCTTACTTCTTACTAATATTATAAATGCGAATGTTTGAGTGGATGGTTGGATGGAGGTTTGGTAGAAGGTATGTCTCGATAGAATTTAGTATGGACCAGCTGTCGCCCGCGATTGTCCTCGCGACATTAAAAAATAATCTCAAAAAAAAACTAATAATGTGTAGCCTATGTGTTCACACATAGGTTACGCATTATTATTTTTTTAATTTCGCGCGGACAGAGTAGCGGGCGATAGCTAGTTGTTTATAATTGTACGAATAACGCTTCGCTTTACACCCAATTATATGCCCAAGAGGTGAAAGCGAGACGTTACCTTTGATAACGTTGCATGTTTGTTTTCGAATTTTAAAGAGAACCGGTTTTTGCTGAATACATTAAAAAATATAATTTAAGGTCCACTGGTCTAGGTGGTAAGATAACAGTCGTGGTTGCAAGTCTAACTGTGGGTTTCTGATACCAAAATATCTAAAACACATCATCACGACATCCCTGTCATTATTTTTGGCAACATATAAATATGTTTTATACGGAGATTTTAGACTCAAAAACCTACGGTTAATTAATGTTATGATTATATAACTTTCGAACCATATGTCAACCAAAATATCTGGAAGTTACTAGTAAAATTTAATACATAAAATGTTTTTTCTGTTCACTACAGGCAGTCGAAGCTATACTCTCGAATGTTCCAGAATGGCATCCCACGCAATGCAACGTGAAAAAAGGTAAACAACTAACATACAGTGCGATGAACTTATCTGGCCCACTGCGAAAAAACAAACTAACGTTTAATGTGACATGACATGACAAAACGGCTAAATTACACCGACTGACTGAACTAAGAGGGACAATAGCATTTCTGGGCTAGATAAGTTTGTTATATATTTTGAGAAAAATTGTTTGAAAAACTGAATGAGCGGAAATAAATCATTTTTTTACATTGTATTTATCATGACAGCTTAGTTTTATCGCGGTAAGCGCTTGGTTTTCTTACTTAATATTATAAATGCAAATGTTTGGATGGATGGCTCTTTGCTAAAAGGTATCTCCAGAACGGTTACATTGCTCGCGATGAAATTTGGCATAGATTTATAATATACTGTGAAAGAACACATAGGCTACTAAGTTTTGGTTTTAATTACGCGCGGACGTGGTCGCGGACGACAACTAGTTCATAATAGAAAAATATGAGGAGTGGCCACTTTTATTAGTGGTGTTTCATGACTAATAAATTAGCCGGCACACCTACGTACAGTTTACGAGCCAATTTTTTCCAATCAACTTAGTGCTTATTGCCTTAATTGATTGTTTGCCAACGAAATAATTAGTCTAGCCCATGTGCTTTTCTAAATTTCTATTGAATTGAACGTACATTTAAATCATCTTGCATCACTGTCTTTATCAAAGAAAATGAAAGAGATGTTATTATTCTGTTCTATTTGAATGTAAGGCATTTATAGAACTGACGGCAACAATACAATAAAAGAATCATAGACTCGTTTCTAATGCATTTTTCATGTATTCTTTGAATAAGTTGCTAATAAAATGTAATAGTGTATTTTATGCCGAAGTAACCAGTGCCAATAAAACTAATGTAATGTTATAAAATATTTTGTTACATAATACTGACGGGTAATGCTTTTGTTTTTATTGTATAATCGCTTCTTCACGATTATACAATAAAAACTCTTCGTATTAAGGCAATATTATTTTATATGACTTTTGTTTATACCAAAACTAGTTGTCGCCCGCGACTCCGTAAGCGGGGATATATAAAAAAACATAATTAGTGTAGCCCACTCATCCATCCATCCACATCACATCCATCTAAACATTCGCATTTATAATATTAGTAAGTTAAATAAAAAGGCATACATTCGAAAATAAATGAATAAATAGTATCCTATGTCCGTCTCCTGGCTCTAAGCTACCTCCTCACCAATTTTCAACCATATCGGTAAAGCCGTTCTTGAGTTATAAATAGTGTAACTAACACGATTTTCTTTTATATATATTACAAATGTTTTATGGAAAAACAGCGGACACAAAAATGTATAAATTTCATATTGCTGTGTGTATAACGATGGGTTTCCACTGTCTACAGTCTAGTACTAGGCTAGGCTGTCTACTATATGAAAAATATGGTCATTCCTCTCATTGCCTTTGAAACGATATATGTCGAACAAAAGTGTCAGCAGTGGAATTTCGCGGTTACAGCATAAATAAATGAATTTACTGTTTGACACTGTTCTGTCTGCAATGGATGCGACGAAGAGCAGGATTTCCCGTACTGATAAATCTTTGTCGCAATTACTTTTAAATATATGTATATAAAAGAATAAACTGACTGACTCAACTAAGGCACAGTCAAAATGTCTTTGTCTACATATTTAAATTTTGCATAAATTTTTCTGTTAGTAAGCATCCACTAAGTAAGCATTTTATAAATCCATCACTTAAGAGTTCAAAATGGTAAAAAGTTTGTATGGAGCAACTTTATTATTTGATGTGAATGTCATGAAAATTTAGATAAATGCTTTTCTGTACACTTAACTACGTTTTTATGCTTTTTAAAAATGTATACTTTTAAGGCCTAAAAAGGCGTGTCAAAGTGTATTGTTTTTCAAAGCGTAGATATGAGTCATAGGGACTTGATATGCATATAGGTTTCTATTACTACGTAATTGACTATAAAATATTTATGCAAAATTCATCCTGTAAAGGTCTAAAGTAGGGGTGCAATTCGACGCGGACGAAGTCGCGGGCAATTTCTATTGTAATATTACTGAACATGGCTTTAATAAATAAGTAGTGTTTTGTGGGCGAGAAGCATTACATTATAATGAATTTGAATGATATAAAACTTCCTCCCACACTGCAATCATCATTAACTTGGAATTATAATGCCTATATATTTATATACCTATTCAATTGATATCTTAATTATATTATTTATATAAATGCTCGTCACTCGCGATATTGTGTTTTTATAAAGGTTAAAACAGAGATTACATTATGTGTTTGAACAAATTCGACAGTGGAAATTCATTTGTTCTTTTTAGAGGAGAAGGTGGAGACGGAAGAGGTCGGTGTACTCCGATGCGAGACGTTCGACATCGAGCGTGTGTTGGAGAAAGGTGCACACCTTATGGGCTCCGAGGGTCATGAGTATGACCTTGAAGAAGTGGCTCTCTCGGCTGGAGGTGAGAGTTACTAGATGTATACTTCATACGCAACAAAGGTGTCAAAAATTCTCTTGAGTTGCATCAAGAAAAGATTGGGTCAACTATGCTAGTCTTGGTAGAAACTTTGCCGAGTCCCGAGACTGTATTATAGTTATACTAAACGGTATTATCATTTATTTCAGATATGAAGGAAAGGTTAGCTAAACAAAGACAACAACTCAACGCTCGACTCGGTCTCGACGTGGCGTCCAAACTGGGAGTGGACCTCACTTCAGTTTATACCAATGAAGATCTCTGCCCTGTCAAGATACAAGTCAAACCAGAGCCTCCAAGGGTAAGTGGCAAACATTTGAATGTAAGGTTTGTTAACTGTAATTTGCATTTCATAAACAAATCACGACAAAGCGGACTTCCTTCACGGTAGACTTTTACTACTAGACTTATCAAACTCTCTCACACTCTTCACTAAGAAAATGCTTATTATCATTAAACGGCTTTGAGTATGGCATTAAATTACTTGATGTATGTATTCCAGAGGCCGGTACAAGAACTAGTACCAATAGCAACAAAGCCGCTAAGTTCTCGTGAGATGAATGTAGCGAAGCGGAGAGCGCGCGCTGCATACAGCAAACAGAAGTCGCGCGACTGCGACGAGGGACCTTCCGCCGCCTCTACCCAGCCTACACCTTCACTGTCACTTTCCCTGGAGCCAGACAGAAAGAAGATTAAATTGGAACCAGTTGAGGACTTTATTGGTATGTACTTAATTTATTTATTGTTTTGTAGAAGATGGAAAATGAGCAAGGGCACCACTTGTTTGCAGGCAATGTGTATTTTAAACTGTATGATTTTGATGGTACCATTTAATTCGTTTTTTAACAAATATTGGTCAGAAGTTGGATCTTGTTTAAATAATTGGTTATTTAGGGTTGGCTCAAGTTCTTCATGAATATGAGCTTATGGAGATGTATTTAACCGTGTTCACTTTACAGTGGACAGTGAGGCAGCAGTGCCGGATGGTCTAGGCGTGTGGGGTCCGTCAGCTCGGTGGCCGCTGGAGGGTTGGTGCGCGGCGCTACAGGCGCAGCTGTTCCATGGTGCGTGGGAGGCGCGACACGGCGCCGCCAGTGCGTTAAGGGAGCTGCTGCGTGCGCGCATCAGTGCCAGCGCCGCCAGGCGACCCGCTACTACTGAACAACAGGTTTGTACTTCATATCTCATTTTTTGATAAATAATGCGACATAAATTTTGAGTGAAGTGTCTATCAGTAGACAACAAAAATAAACATTTAAATATAATAGTACAGGATCATACGTACATATTCTCGGATCAAGATAGCCTTCAGTATAAGGAAAAGAACATAAATGATTGTTTGTTTTTTAAAGATGGAGGACGCCCATCAAGAATGGCTAGAGGATATGGCATTAAGATTGCTCTGTGTCTTGGCTCTGGATCGATTTGGAGACTTTGTATCGGACCAGGTGAGTGAAATTGATAGTTTCTAATCATTTTTGCTATTTTGCTGTCATAGTATGTGTTGTTAAGTGCTCCCGTGGTCACCAATTAAGGACTCAGTGTGGTAATTAGCCTCTGTCGTCGCATGAATGAAGCCCAAGTAAGACATAGCACGGTGTTATGCAGGTGGTGGCGCCGGTGCGGGAGACGTGCGCGCAGACGCTGGGCGTGGCGCTGGCGCAGCTGCGGGAGGCGCGCGTGCGACTGGTGGCGGAGGCGCTGGCCACGCTGGCACGCCAGCGGCAGTGGGAGGCGAGGCATGGGGCACTCCTCGCCTTCAAGTATCTGCTCGCTGCTAGGCAGGTAAACTGAAACGCAGAAACATCTTTTTATATTGTTATCTTTTTGTTAAGAACAAAATAGAGATGGCAATATATATTTTACGAATCATATTGTAATTGTAGTTTGTTATAATTTTCAGGAGGTGGCGTGTGCAGCGGGTGCGCTGGAGCACTTGGTGGCGGCGCTGGAGGACGTAGCTGAGGATGTGGCTGGCGTGGCGGCAGGCGCGCTGGCCCCCGCGGCTGCCGCGCTGGCTTCCGCCCGCCCCCACGCCTTGCCGGCAGTCGCAGCCAGACTCTGGCAGCTGCTGAGGGACCAGGACGACCTTGCAGCGCCGGCTAACGCTTACATGGCGTTACTGGCTGCACTCTGCGCATTGCCACAAGCCGCTAAACATTTGCAGTCAGTATACGTGATCTTATTTGTAATCTTAAATTCGATGGATGTCACAAAAGTAATAATTTACTTCTGTGTCATCCATATGGATACAATAGAAAAGTATTGGAAACTTTTATAATCTGTTATTATTCGGAGTGAGAAATAAGAATTTTAAAGCTATCCGGTCTGATAAAATTATTTTTTTATAGTCTAACAATCTTATGTAATTTTCACAGCCCCATCGATTTATCAGACGTATTACCTCGCCTGTGGCCGTACCTCGACCACTCAACAAGTTCAGTTCGCAAGGCCACGCTACAGACATTACGCACGCTGACACGACCTCTGGTGACCACTGATGACACCAAGACAAATGGTAACAGTGACACTAAAGTGGTAGACGTCAAAGTGAACGGCACAGACAAAGCAGACAGCGGGCTGTTGACCTGGACCCCGGAGTTGTTGCAAGATGCCATGAGACATGTATACCAAAGAGTACTGTTTGAACATGTTCATGAAATACAAGAAGTCGCTTTGCAAGTATGTACTTTTTTAATATTGCATAGATAATTTAAAAGATATACGTGCGAACTAACGAATAAGTTATTAATTTAAATTATTTTTATGACCATTTCCCAATAAACAATGATTTGATTTTTGATATATCTTTTCCTATATAGCTTATTTTGCTTAGAAGTCTCCTTATATTAAAATATTGACAATATCTTTGGTAAAATATTCGAGATCGATTGTTGGGTTTGTCTGTTAGGAATTCTACTCTTATTTCAAAATATTAATGTTTAGAACTACTACATAAACAGATGCATCATTACTTAACAAATATAATACTTATATTTCCAGGTATGGGATAACCTGTTGAAGCACGCAGCACTAGAGGTGATTTTGGTAGCGGCGTGCCCCATGCTGGCGACGTGGATGTGCCTCGCCATGCAGCCACCGAGGCTGCCGGTCGACCCCTCATTGCTACTCTATACTCCTCATAAGGTGACCTCTCGAATCTAAGCGTTTAAAAACTGCTATTTATGATTTCACTCGAAACTCTACATTTCTATGAAAAATATATTTTTACTGTGTTGAAATTACGTAAGAATAAATATAATCGTCGGGCTATCAGTTGATTTCAAAGATTCATTTAATGTTGACTAATTTAGTGTTTTTTTAGTTCCATATTACTAATATTTGTGTTGATTTTCCAGGAGCGTCGGACACGATCGACTTCTCTACAGTCAGAGCAAGTACCGCCCGAGGTGCGTCCCACACAGAAGTGGTTTATCGGCGGCAGTGAATCACAGCCCGCAGTAGCGCGCGACCGCAACGTTACCCGCGCTAGGTGCCTCGCAGCTGATATACTGGGTAACAAAACTTTTACACTTGTCGATTAGTATATGACCTGCTTTTTCTGGAAATTTCGTTGAAAGCAATGATGACAAGTATTCATCTGAAATCATCCTAAGGTAGTTTAAGATTAAACATTAACTTAGCGTGATTCGCTGCGCAGAACACAATTTTATGTGAAGCGGGGAAGTACACTACGGGCGTTGGGCCGCCAAAAAATTTGATAATAACTATCATAATAATATTATATATGCGAAAGCGTTTAGATGGATTTTTTTGTTTGGAATTATGCTATTAAGAAATAGTCACTGAATTAAAAATGTAAATATATTTGAAACTCTTTGACCTTCAGATTTACAGTTAATCTAATAAATATATATTTCCAGGACATTTGTCATGCTACCTTGTGCAACCGGCGCCCGGTATAGAATATAAATCAGAGAATGAAAGCCCAATACATTGCTATGTCAAGGTAAGCATTATCAAGTGTTAAAAAATAAATTACAAATGATTTAAATTGCCATACCAAATGTTTGGCGAATGTAGATTTTTCATAATTCCGCGCAAACGAAGTCGCCGGCAACTACTAGTAATATGTATATGTTGTCAGGTGATGATAGTGTACCTGCGGTCGGGCAGCGCGCTGCAGCGGCTGGTGGCGGGCCTGGTGGTGTCGGCGTGGGCAAAACACACCCGCAAGCACAACATGTATCCCCCACAATTGCCACACAACGGTGTCAATGGTGATCAGGTATTGAAAACCAATATTATCTTAAAGAACTAAGTAACTGATGTGATAAGTTAATTTTTTTTTCTTACAAGACTTCACTAATTCACCGACTTCAACAATTAATAAAAGGTATTACAAAAAAGGTATTAAGATTAACAGTGGTAGAGCCCGCTTTAACATCTTCGCACGAATTGGCCCGGCTCGCCCGGTGAAATACCACGACCACACAGAAGACAGGCGTCAAGTGGAAGCAATTCCGCGTTTCGTCTGATGAGTGTGCGTCCCGGAGGCCTAATTTAGTCCTCTTTCCCTTCCCATCCTTTTCTTTATAAGGAAAGGATGGGAAGTGAATGTGGACTTTCCGGATGAGAGGATGCATGGAAAGGGAAGATATTTTCTTCCTGTGCATCCTCTCCTCCGTCGATTAAAGGTAGGCAACGCATATGCAATTGCGTATGTCTATGGGCAACGGTCACTTCGCTATTTCAGCGACTTCGGGTGGCCGCTCGCTCGTTTGTCACCTTTTGATATAAAAAAAAATTAACCGATTTCTCGAATAAATATATGTATGATAACAATCATTTATATAAATAAACGAAAAAATGTACCGTATGTATGAATGTAATTTTTTTTTTCAGGATGGCATTGAACAAAAGAAAGATATATCATCACTAGCACCGGAGTTACTGACGAGTACACTGCACGCGGCGCTCAACCAAGCTCTCTATTACGACGAGGTGGCGTTGAACTGCAATCGGTAAGCAACACTTCATATGTGTTTTTCAAATAAAGCTAATTTTGCAACAAATGTTATTTAACTTGGTGATTTTTCATGAGATAATTTAATGCAGGATATTGCAAGAGGCTCGAGACCTGTTGGCTATGATGAAGCACTACAAGCTGGCAGTCGACGGCGAAGAGTTCAACAATATATTGCGATTAGAACAGGTAACTTTTGATATAGCTCGGTGTTTATAATTATTAAGTGTTTAAAAGCAAAATATTTTGCTATTGATTTTGGACATCGAAAACAACTAATTCAATAAAAAAATTGCAAAACCTTTTTTTGGTTTTTAAAATATGTCGATTATTTTAAAATCAAAAACCAAACAACACCAAAGAGGCTTGTGTTGATAACTGTTTATAATGGAATAGGGAATGCGATTAGTAAATGTATATTGTATGCAGGTGGTCCACATGTGTAACGTGACGCAGCCGATGGTGGCGGGACTGAAGCTGAAGCGAGTGTTGCAGACACTGGAGGAGCGCCGCGCCAGTCTGCTCACTGCTGCTAACCAGTGCGCACTCGACCAAGCCACCTTTAACGTCTCGTATGTTTTTATACATATATAGATAATCATTATGCTCTCGAAAATATATAGATTTTGTGTGAAAATAAAATTTCTTTTTTAAACTTTTCTAAAATTATATATATGACAGAGGGGTTTGAATAGGACTTTGTTTTTAGAAAATTTGTAGAAGAATCTACATATTTTCTTTTACGCAAAATAATCAACATGACATGTTGCATTTAAAAATATTTTATATTTAAAATGTATATGTTTTCAGAGTGCAAGCGGCATTAGCTGGAGCGTGTGCCAACATGCACGCGCTGCCGGAGCGACTGAACCCCGTGGTGCGGCCACTGATGGAGAGCATCAAGAAAGAGGCCTCGGAAGAGCTGCAGACGCACTCCGCGGAAACACTTGCTGAATTACTCACCCAGCTCGTAGACAGAGATCCCTGCCCTAATAATAAAGTGCTGGTTAATTTGAAGGCATTTCTAAGGTACGTGTACAAAGTTTATCTATTTAATGTTAATATATTGGTTATCCATATGACTACAAATTAGTTTCGGCTGATAATATATATTTTTATGTTCTATGAAACTTTCATTTTATTCTGGGCCTATTATAGATGTGATCCGGAGTTCACACCACGTATATCGCTTGAGGTGGTGGACGAGGCTGACTCCGGCAGCGGTGACAGCGGTTCCGAGACCAAGAAGGAAGTGCAATCGACGAATTCAACGCGTTAGTATTATAAGTAAAAAAAGTATTTGACTACAAAGCAATAATTAATAAAAAATGTTCAATAATCATTATAAAAACCGCTGATAAGTAATGGTTCAATGCAAGAAAGAAATAAATTTTGGCCGTTATTGGCGTTGTTTAAGCTACTTGACCATAGATGGCGTTGTGATGTACACCGGCTATTAAATTGTTATTCGGAGGGAAGTTGTTAAATTTGATGAAATGAATTATTGCATTGTATTTACAGTGGACAAATACAAAGGCATATTGACATTGAGAGAACAGCAGCGCAATGCAGAGCGGAGCGCGCCACGCCGCGGCCGCCCGCCCGCCGCCGCTACCATTGCTGCTGCGGCCGCCACACACGACCTTACACTAGACACGCTCTTCCAGCAAGAGGATGAAGTAAGTCTTGAACAAATTATCATTTTTAACTAATTGTTAAAAATTAGTTTTTTGCACATGTGATGCTTAAATTGTCAAAGATTTTTCCTAATTATTAGTATTAAAAGAAAACGTAATTAGTGATAAATGTAATTATTGCTTTGCTATATTACAGGCGCGTAAGCTTTTAAGGATCCAGAGAAGAGGAGCAACTCTCGCACTGACAAGTCTCACCAGGCATTTCGGTGACGAACTCCCAGAGAAGCTGCCCAAACTGTGGGAATTCATCACTGAACCTTTCGCCAAAGTTATGAATGATGCAGGTAGTTACTATAATCTGTCAATACTTTTCTTTTTTGTTCCACATTTGTTCCTATATTGAATTACGGGAATTTTAAAAATTGAGAAAGAAGATAATACAAAATGCGAGTTAATTAAACTTGACCGAAAAATTTACAATCTGCATAGAAAATGTCTATTGCTTTCTAAATCGTTTAATGTTTACTTAAAGGGAGCGTCTACTTTACGTTTTTTATCTCCACTAAGACTTTTCCTTAGCACTAGATGATTGATTACGGCAATATGACTTGAAATACTATGGACATGTTGCAGAGTTAGTAGCGCAAGAGCCGGAGGCGGCGGAGGAGCTGATATCGCGGCTGCAGGTGGTGGAGGCGGTGGGCGCACGCGTGGGCGACGCGCTGTGGCCGCGGCTGCTGGGCGGCGCCCACGCCTGTGCAGCGCTCTGCCGCGCCCTCTATACCGCGCTACGGCACATGGCGGCGCGCGCCCTCGCTGCACTCGCAGTTAGAGACCCGCACGCGGTTATGCACGAGCTAGTACACGAGGTCTGTAAAATACACAGCTTTAACATGTAGCTAGAATACTACTCTGATGGTAATGTTATGGAATATTATTTAATGTCTAATGCTGCAATATTTTTAAGAATCATTTGTAAAAATATTTTGTATATTTTTTAGCTGATCGCTTCGCTAGACGACGTACGTAATGATCGCGTGCGGTGCGGCGCAGCGGAGACTCTCGCGCGGCTCGTGGACACGCTGCAGCTTCACGTCGTGCCATACATTGTGCTGCTCGTCGTACCACTACTAGGTCTGTATCATAAGCCTTTATACCCTTACACACTTAATCCTAAACATACGTAAGGGTCAATAACTATATTGCATGAATGGTCCATTTCTATACGTTTTATAAATGAGATAAGAGATTTTTACTCAACCGTTAAAGCTTATTTCGTCAGTTCCTTGATATAGATTTCTCATACTAATTATCACACTGAGCATTAAAGAGCTTTCAGTAAGGCAGTCAATTTTCACTTCAGTTTGAATTTTTAATTTCTTTATTTGTTTTCCAGGGCGTATGAGCGATCACTGCGAGGCGGTGCGCACAATGTCCACGAGGTGCTTCGCGACACTGATACAGTTAATGCCGCTAGATGGCGCGGTGCCTGAGCCCGCCGGCCTCAGTGCTGAGATGCGCGCGCGCAGGCAGCGCGATAAGGATTTCCTAGAACAACTTTTCAATCCAAAATCTATTAAGGATTACAAGATACCAGTACTAATATCTGCTGAATTGAGAAGTTATCAACAAGTACGTATTAGTGTATTTAAAAATATTTAAATGTCCAATCTTTACCATTGATAATTTCTGTTAATTGTTGTATAAAGTTTTTCGTTTCATTTTTATCCTAAGTTTCCTGATTTAATTTTTAACCTAACATTACTAATTTTCTTTAAAATATTATCGTAATCATCAGCTTATTGTTTCATTGTTTTTTTTTAAAACAATTCCAGGCGGGTGTGAACTGGCTGCGTTTTCTATACGAGTACGGGTTACACGGAGTGCTGTGCGACGATATGGGGCTCGGCAAGACCATACAGTCGATAGTGGTGGTGGCCGGTTCGCACTGGGAGCGCGCCGAGCAGCGTCGCGACAAGCTGCCCTCGCTCGTCGTCTGCCCACCCACGCTCACCGGTACTGTTGTACACGCCGTACACATTCCATACACTATGTACACACTTAATATAGTGTACAATAATACTTTGCATTACATTGCTTTTATCATTTGGCTATGGTCAGTGTAATTGTATTTTCTTCGTTCGCGATAGTTTGCTAGCAACAGTTTTCCATTTTTTTTTAAGAAAATGAATATTTTTTTTTACTTCATGTCATGACTTGCAAAGCAGTCGTTACCGTCCTAAGACTACCTAAAGTCTTCGTGTTAAGTTACGAAAGTAATAATTTATTTAAAGGTTTATTGTTATGCAGGTCACTGGGTGTTCGAAGTGAACAAATTCATACGCAGCGAGTTTCTGCGGCCGCTACAGTACGTGGGCCCGCCAACAGAGCGCGAACGTCTGCGCGCACTCGCCCGCACTGACCAATACAATCTTATCGTCGCCTCTTACGATATCGTTCGCAAAGACATCGACTTCTTTAGTACTATCAAGTAAGCACAATTTATCAAGTAGGCAATACAACGACACACCAAAAAAATAGCGATATGATACAATAGGATTAAAATGACACCTCAATTGTACAAATCGGTTCAGTGGTTTTCAGGAGGTAACAATGGCCTGGATATACAACTTATCCCTCCTAAATAATGTGGTTAAAACCTAATTATAGTTACTTTTTCCAGGTGGAACTATTGTATTCTTGATGAAGGTCATGTTATCAAGAATGGAAAAACCAAAGCGTTCAAGGCAATCAAACAAATAGTTGCCAATCACAGGCTCATACTCTCCGGTACACCTATACAGGTAAAAATACAATTTCCTTAAATTTTACCGTGGGTTTTCATTGCTTTAAATTAAAAATATTATTATCTCTACCCTTTCCATCTGAAATAGGATAAAAATGATTACAATTTCATTTTAGTAATGGTTTTGTAATTGTAACTAATATTACGGCTAGACTAGTGAAATTTATTAACTTTGTTTTTTTTTATTTTTTAATATGTCTCGTAGAAATTATCACTTTTCCAACACTAGAATATAAATATATGTCTTATTACAGAACAACGTGCTTGAACTGTGGTCGCTATTCGACTTCCTGATGCCTGGTCTGCTAGGCACGGAGCGGCAGTTCACTGCGCGCTATTCGCGGCCCATCCTCGCCGCGCGCGACGCCAAGGCCACGCCGCACCAGCTGCAGGCCGGCGCCCTCGCATGCGAAGCATTGCACCGACAGGTAACGCACTGATTGAGTAATTTATCATAGAACTAAATTTTCAAGCAATTAGATTCAACCATAGATGCTTGTATACTTTTCTTATGATTTGTTTGTCTATTTTCGTACGTGAAACTGTTTGCGATTTCATTGCGTCGCGCATGCTTTAGCGTTTCGTCAACATTCTATTGTACGCAGTGATGTATAATACATTTGTTTTTTTCACTGTTGGCAAAATGCACCAAAGGCCAGACGACAAAGCGTCGCAGATACTTAGTCGTTTTCAAGTCTTTACAATTTTTTTCTCTATGTTAGGTTCTGCCGTTCCTATTGCGCCGTGTGAAGGAGGACGTGTTACGCGAGTTACCGCCGAAGATAACGCAGGATTACTACTGCGAGCTGAGCCCGCTGCAACGCCGCTTGTACGAACACTTCGCGCGCGACCACGCCCCTCAGCACGCGCTCGGGCACTCGCAGACACACGTCTTCCAGGTACGCTTAGCACTTACAACGTTAAAGTAATGGTACACAGTAAAAATTGATTTTTTTTTTATCGTGGAACATAAATGAGCTGGATATTAATTGATTATTATGTGTTGTGCAGGCGCTGCACTACCTGCAGAACGTGTGCAACCACCCCAAGTTGGTGCTGACACCAGAGCACCCGGAGGCGGCGCGCATCGCAACCGAGCTCGCCGCGCAACGCTCCTCCCTCGACGATATAAACCACTCCGCCAAGCTGCCCGCGCTCAAGTAATTAATCTATGCATTAGTAACAAACAACTTACTTAAAGTTATATAAACTTCGCCAAAGACGTCTACAAAGTTAGCCTCCTACAGGCTGGTAGAATCTGGTAGAATTTAATGTACTGAATAGTACATTTGCAAGGAAAGGAATTGGGTCAGTAGTAGACATGAAACTACCTTTCTTTTATAGGTAGATACATTTGTTTATTTTACTTTAGAAATACTATTATTTTTCTAATTTACTTATGTCGCTAATTTACTTGTCACTTGACCAGACAACTGCTACTGGACTGCGGCATCGGCACGGGTGCCTCGGACGCAGAAAACAGCGCGGTGGTGTCGCAGCACCGCGCTCTTGTGTTCTGTCAATTGAAGAAGATGTTGGATATCGTGGAGCAGGATCTATTGCGCGCGCACCTGCCCACCGTCACTCATCTACGTCTCGACGGCAGCGTGCCCCCGCACCAGCGGCACGCCATCGTCACAAGATTTAATACTGATGTCTCTATTGATCTATTGCTACTCACCACTGCTGTAAGTTATTCTTAACTTGTTACACGGAGACTTGTTAACTGGTAACTAAGGGGGGAAAATTGAGGGAGACCTAAGTAATCATTAGTAACCGCTTAACTATCCTTAGTATTGTAATTAGTGTTATCGGCACAAGGACCTTTTTTCCTGTAACGTTATCTATTAGATTTATACAGTGATGTATTATAGCTGTCGCCCGCGACTCGGTCTGCGTTGATAAAAAAAAAAACGTAATAATATCCTATATTATTCCAGGCTACATCTATGCCAAAATTTTAGCGTGATCCATACAGCCGTTCTGGATATACCTTCTAACAAATATCCATCCATCCATCCAATGCAAACATTCGCACTTACAATATTAGTAAGATGTAAACAAAAGCAGCTGAAGAACTTAATATTGTATTATGTTGCAGGTGGGCGGTCTCGGTTTGAATCTAACTGGTGCGGACACGGTTATCTTCGTGGAGCATGACTGGAACCCGATGAAGGATCTGCAGGCGATGGACCGTGCTCACCGTATCGGTCAACGCAAGGTCGTCAATGTCTACCGTCTTATCACACGGAACACGCTCGAGGAGAAGATCATGGGGTCAGTACAGAACTACCAATATGCGTACATAATTATTCAACTAGCTAATAAGTTTGTTGTAGCAAATAAATCATTCATATTGTCTTAAATGTAACCTAACCGTTTATAAACAAAACCTATGTATTTTAATCATTTTAAATGTCAAATTTAAAATTTTCAGATTGCAGAAATTTAAAACGATGACAGCCAATACGGTAATTAGCAGTGAAAATGCAGCCATGGAAACCATGGGTACTGAGCAGCTGCTAGACTTGTTCCAGTTGTCGGAGCAGCAGCGACCGCAGCCCGCGCCGCCCGCCTCCGCACTGGACGCTCTGCCCGACCTATGGGACGACAAGTTGTACGAAGAGGAATACGATATGACCAACTTTATTAAGAGCTTGAATAATATTAAGAGTTAAATTATTCCTTTTCCCAAACAAATATTTTTAAACAAAAAATGGCGTAGAAAAAATATTTTCTCACATTACCCTATCATTTATTATCCACATTTTACTCATTGACTTCACTTTATTACAAAAAATTACTTACATTTAAAATATTTCCAATCGAAATTTTGTAAACTATGAATGAACTTATGTTTGTATGTTTACAAGATTTAGGCTTTCTTTTGGTACGGGATATCAATTATTTTTCTATAAGAACTTTGTCTATTTGCCCTAAATGAAAAATATTTAGCGTAATAATCGTACAGATCAACAATCGTTGAAGATGTTCACCATTGTACGGTATTAATATATTGATGTTGTTTTATAAATTTAAAACTATTCTATTTGATTTGATTGCTGATACTTGCAATATATACACAAATTATTCAGTTTTTATTAAACATAATTGATAAATATTGTTAAATGATAACTCACATAATTCTTAAATAACACAAATTCACTTCATATCAAAATATTCACACTATTTCGTATAAAAAAATGTAAAATAGAGTCCAACTTATGACAATTACTTATTTATAAAGTTTAATTCATGTTTTGAAATAAACTATTAAAGTTTCAATATATTTATGGAGAATACTAAAATAGAGGCTTCATTAATCACGTAGTTTTAAGATGTAGTGATGTACTGACATTGGCTTTAGAACTTTGCCTTACAATGTTTTAGTACTATAAATTATTTAAACAATGTTCTATAAATTTATACTTTAAAGTGTTAACTGTACTAAAATTTAAATATTCACTTGTTAATATATATTTAATATAGGGATAACTATGCCAAAATAACAAGAGTTCTAATTTGTAATATGGAAATAATTAGGTTTGTAACGTATGTATTCTGAATTTAGTTTATTTTTCCTCTTTTATGTGATTAGTTAACGTTTATTTAAGTTCCTTTTGTAAGAAATACCTCAGTTTTGGATTTTTCTTACTTTCGTAATTTATTATGTAGCGAATTAAGGAAGACAGTCATATTGCTTAGTCATTTTAGTAGTTTTAGGTCGCGTCGGAAGACGTTATCATGTAATTGGGTTTATGTTTTTGCTATTTTGTACCTGCTCAAGTGAAAACGACGAAAAATTTGTACACGTTTTAGTTGATTTATATTTCCCTGACTTTACCAAGGATGATGCAATGCAAATAATTGTATCCAAAGAGTAAAGAAGCTGTTAAAATATGTTCTATTTTTGCAGTGTTGTTGTCAACAAATTAAATATAATTATGGGTTTCCACTGTATTGACACTTGTTGTCAATCCAACATTCACTTTGTATAATACAGACAACCATGTAACAGTCGTCAGTCGAAACCCACACTAACTACGTCGTCAATTAAAATGTTTTTAGATAACAATATTCAAATTATTACAAAGTTGACAATTCGTAGTAAGGTGTGATGTAATTTAAGTTAATTTTTCTTTTTATTACTATCATTTAATTGATGGTTATTTTGTTTGTATGTCTACAGTAATGTGCAGTTGCTGTGCATAGATGTTCATTAGTTTGTTTTGTTATAACAAAAAGTGTTCTGTTCACATGTAATACTTGTATTAAATTTGACGTAAAAGTATTGTTTTATTTTAATCCTTTTCTGAAACGCATGTCCCGGGTTATTTCATATTAGAGGGAGGCGCATAGGAGGTGAGTGGAGGGAGTTTATACGACGGAAAAAGGTATTTTATCATAGTTTTGTTTTGCCAGCTTTTTAAGAACATCGATTAAAATTAATGCATCGATTTGAACTTTTATGTGAATCGAATTCAGTTGAGAAATATCGATCCTTGTATATAAAATAAATCTGCCGCAAAATTATAGCGTTTGATTTACATTATTGCTACAAATATTTAATCGTTTGAATAAAAGGTAAGCAATTATGCATTCTATCTTCAAAAAAATCATATTTTATGACCGCTGTTACAAGGTTACGTTGTTGGATTTCAATGAAGTGTCAAATGCGATCTATTAAAATGGCCCACCATTAGTGTGAAAAAACATTTAATTAAAAACTTCCTTTTTTAAACCTAAAAATTTAATATTAACATTATTATAAACAAAAGAGTAAGTTTTTTGTTTTCATCTGTTTACTGTTTTACTGCGTGAAGAGGAATGACAAGTTTAATGTACTTTGAGGCCGCTAGATATCGCTCAAGTGCATCAACACCATGGCGAAAGCGACGTCAACCGTGTGTGGGTAAATTTTTGTTTTCCACATCGAACTGCTGTTTCTTGTTTGTTTATAAGTTAAAAGACTGTTTGTTAAGTTTCTCGAAGTGTTTACCCGTTATCAAGTGTATCAGTTTATAGTTCAAAATAAAAAGTTTTGTGTGCAAAGTTATAACGAACTCTGGGATCAGTTGAGTATTCAGGTGTCAACGAGGTAAGGTACCAAAGCTTATTTCAAGATTACGACTTCTAAAATTAACGCTTTCCATCTCAAAGGGTATTTTAATGTTCTTGAACTTTGTAATTAGCTCAAGTCACTTTGTCGCTGCCGTATACATTTCATGTAACGGTTATTAATAATTCTTTAAAAGGTTATGTCTCATCTACTCGAATTTTAAACAGATCTTTGACGCTTAAGATGTTTTGTTTCTTAGAACTCGCTGTCGTCCTCCGGGCTCAACTCGGTAGATAGACGTAAGTTTATTTGTTTACAAACTTTTGGAATAGTGTTTACCTATTGACCTAGTATTGTCTATCAAAGTATTTTGGACCTTATATGAATGAGTGTTAGTATTAGACCCTTTTGCTGCTTTTCAAAATCCTAATATTCTCGAGCAATTCTTTCAATAAAGTTCAAATATTCTTTGTTCTTCTTTTCTAACCCTTAGATCATCTCTTTGGTAGACTAATTAATTACATTGAGTGATATGGTTATTTTTTTGGATTAAGACTTGTTAATTAGCTTATTTTACATTACAATTTCTTTGAAGTTTTACATACTTCCTTGTTATAATATTGTGTTAGCAAAATAATTAAGTCAAAATTAATAAATCAATGAACAAACTTAAAAAAAATAATTTTCCTATTTTGCAATTTCAATTTGTATTATTAATGTTTGATTATTTTAACAAGCATTTAAATTAGGTTAAAATGATTTCCAGTAACATAATTACTCATGGCAGCATAGTTCTTTTTAGAATTTGTGTTACTGACCCCTAAAATATTTAGGCTCACTGACGGTCAGTTTTTAGTTTCTATGACATTATCTAATTGACAAGACTTAACTTAAGATAATTTACATGAAATGACAGGAAAATAATTATAATAACTGCTTGGCAATATAAATATATATTATACAAAAACCGGTAACAGATTCTATTATATATATGAATATGTTCTACATCTATTCCAAATATCCCTTGTGCCTTCAAACAAATGTCTAAATTATATCATATTCATTAACAATATAAGTAAGATATATAGATTTTAATACATACATCTAAAATGGTGATTGTCACATTATGTTTATGATAATTTATTGTTTAAACAAATAGATATTTGTATTATATAATATGCAGGGAAAGAAATAACTATTGGCTTTTTAACATAAATGGTTATAGAAATTTAAAAATCTGTTATAGCAGTGTTCTATGTTTTTTTTTGCTTTTTAGCTATAGCTACTAATAATTGCAGTATCATATTAAATATGTAAGTTAAGAAGTCTATGACCTATTTATAAATTTCAATTTCAAGAAAATGTTTCAAATTCTCTCTGTATTTTCATACCCTTTAGTTTTGTTTATTATGTTAGTATATATTTATGTACATTGGGCACATGTATCAATAATATTCGTATCATAAAAGCGCGCAAACATCGCGGTACACAGAAACAATACGGTAAAAGCAATCCGTATAATAAAAGTAGCAGATGTATGATCAAACCGTCGTTTTATCTCGTTCGATATTTTTTTTTTGTGAAAAAGAGGTTTGCAACAATCAATTCCCTTTGTGCGCGACATCAATGGGAGCGGTTGCTGTGTACCCGTCCTTTGATCTCGCCGCCCTCTGAAGATGCGACAGTGCGCTAATGCCGGCGCCGCGGCGCGGAACGTCGTAAGCGCCTTTTAGGATTTGTTTTCAAGTGTGAAGCGTTTTAGAGAGGGCTTTATAATTACCCACTCCCGTCCACCCCCGCCTACCCCGCGAATCTTTATCATTATCTTAGTGATATGAAAATCATCGCGCTTTGTAGTGGAGTGTAGACAAGACTACTTCAGAGGCTCTTCAGTACAACCTCCAAAGAGATCTTGAATCGTTAAAATTTTATTTGTCTGCGACATTTGCTTGGTTGTTGAACTTTAAAGGTGAGAAGCATAAAAAGTTTTCCACACATGCCTCTAATACGAATTATTCTCTTTATACTTTATTTTATTAGAAGTTTAAAGTTTCTAATGTATAAGTACGTGAATGTCTACTATATGTCTTATTATATGTCTCTTTGCTTTGAACTTTTAGTGAAAAAAGATAAATAAAGCGAACTCGATTAAATTAAGAATTGAACTTAGCATGTGATAAAAAAAACTAGAGGCAAATTATTTCTTATTTACGAATTAATAAGGTAACGTTGACAGTAATAAACTTGTCTAAAATTAAATTAAATAAACAACAGAAAATGTATCGTGTGCACACCGCCTAATGCGTAATAAGGTAAGTAAAGCATGACGTCACGTCTGACCGGCGACTTTTAATTCCCATGCAAGGTTCCCGCGCGTCCCTTAGGAGACGACTCAAAGACGAACACAAACGTATTGCAAACGCTTTGTTAGCTTCACTCGTTAATGGAGATGGATACCGTAAGTTGATTTCGTAAGGGTTCGTAACATATCTCATTTACAAGGACTGCTAGAAATTTGAACCAAAGTTCCACTGTTCGAGTAATCGTAAGAGACAAAAAAAATGTCATGATTTTAAAAAACTTAGATTTCTTTGTGCAGATGCACTGTGGAAATCTATGGTCATAATTATTTGAAAATGGATACACACGACATTTTTTTTTTAACAAAATTGCCTAATACGAAAATGTTTAAATACAACAATGACAATTTTTTACTTCAAAGTTATTGATGTACTTAAACATTTTTATGTAAGACACACTAGGTTGAATCTCTATATTAAGCCTTCACTTACCTACCTATGTATTCTCTCGTTAATCTAGAAAGGAGACTAAGTATTTGCTTACATCTACATGTCTATTACAGTCAAGCCTTACTTTCTGCCGTAAGAAGCTTTACTTGTCTTTACTCATCGGCGTTAGTAAAAGAGAAAAGAAGGCGCATTAAAAATTCTAGGGACTTATTATTAAGTCTCTTTTAGATGCGAAGTAACAATGCGGCGCTGCATACAGGACGGAGGTCGATTTGTGTCGGCTCGAGTGGGGCTCGCCGTTAGACTGCCCGGGTAGTACACACCGCGGCCCCTGGCCCCTAGCCGCCTCTCTTGAGGGACCTCGGCGCAACAAAACGAATGCTTGCCTAAGACGCCCTATTGTTGACCTCCGTGTAACATAAGCGCCAAAGAGAATATTTAAACATCGGTCAGACTATCTTAGTTTACCCTTTTAGATGAATATGCTGATGTTTTTATTCACGTTAAAATGTTCATGCTTATGTCGATCGTGGCTATCAAATGAAATTTATGTATAAAACTGCCAATAACTTTAGATAAGTCACGTGATTGTCGCGCGTCATTTCCATACAATTTTGAAGTTCGTTATGGAATCGCTTCGAAGCAAATGCATTTTATCTAACCCCGCTGTTGTTACTATTATTACTTTTTATACCATTATCGAACAAATTGATAATAAATGATTATAATAATGACTGTGAAGACATAAAATATTCATGTTCATAACACTTGGACGTAAGTAGAACATAAGGCTCGATAGGTATGACGGGGCGGGCGGGCGGCGACGCCTGCTGTAAAGGCTTCCTTTGTCTCAGCTAAAGTACGTGTGAAGTTCACTTGATTCTGCAGTTGCAGGTGCTAAGGCGCGCTAAAAAAAGACAACAATAAAAGCTTGTCGGATTATATCTGCCTTCTAAAGACTTATTTATTTTTTCTTTGCTTTAGTTATTTCAAAGTAAAATAGGTGCGAGATTTTAGCTCTTACTAATATTTAGTTTGAAATTTTATAACGTTTTTCTTTGGTAACAACTAATGTTGTATTTAATTTTAAAGTCTAGTGACAAAACAAATAACACTCACTTTCTACTATTTTTCTTTTTGTCATAAAATAATTGTTAAACAAAATGAAACCCATTTAGGTGCAAAATTTGGCCCGATGAAATGAGAGGGTAGCTGTCGCAATTTATTTAAATAACGACATTTCCATTCAAGGTGGATCCCACTCAAAAGATTATCTCTCAAAGGCTCAAAGATCAAACAGCTAATAGATTAAGCAAAGTTTCCAAACGTGCATCAAAACTGTATCCAATAAGTTTCTCCCCATTCAATCCTTTAATATAAAACTTGACGTAAAGTTGTCGGCTCTAACATGCGGGTGCTCGCTCGACCGACCAAGTTTTTCCAGATCCTCGTCTTGGAAGGTAAACAGAGAATTTCTTCAACTTTGAATACTGCTTGATGCATTTAAGAACCGCGGGTCTATAGCCAAGATGCGGGTCGATGCCAACTTAAATAAAACTATGGAGAATGTAATACTAATCCCTTATTAGATACATTTTTAAAAAGTTTTTGTATGATAGCAAAGGTTTTTTAATATTTAAAAATGGATCCTTATTTAACCGCTTTTACACAAAACTCTAGCTACGCATTGCTAAGTGTAAACAAGATAGATGTGATAATCCCTGCATCAGCCTGGAAATCTTGGACGAGTACGAATGAAATGTAATGGTGAGTACATTTGTGAGAAGTGTGTCAAAGCGAGTGGTGAGTGGTGACCCATTCAGTGCGTCAGTGACGTAAGCGAGGCGCGTTGTAACAACCTTGCACCGGCTCGTTCATTGGCAGCGGCGCGGCGCGTCACATGTAAATGCGCTTCAAAAGCCGCCTTTCAGCCTCGCCCCGGGCTACGCGCCTAAGCTCAAAGTAATACACCTCTCAATGCGAATCTCTGCTGCGTCGAATCAATGCTTGTTGGAATTGCTGACTTGAAATGTTTCGCTATTTCCCTTATTGACGAGTGACATGTAATACTGTTCCTATCGTATCAGGCTTATTACAGAGGTATCAGGTTTTTTGTTTAAAATTTTACATTTAGTTGCGATCTAAATTAAATGAAACAGAAAACAATTTAGATATCCTTTAATTTATGAAATAATTCACTACAAACTATATTATTCGAATTCGTCTCATAACTCGATTCACCATTTCTCGTAGCACGTAGCAAGGTGGATGTTCAAACTAAGAACTTTGCGATGCACCGCAATTTGAATCTAAAGCTTTCACGGCAGGGTAGTGTTTCGTATAACAAACGCGGACGCCCACTGGGGCCCGTAGAACCGACGTCACAATTAATGGCCACCTGGCTCTACAGCTAATCGACCGATAGAATTAAATGAACGGACCGCACTAATTGCCCGGCAAGACAAAGGGGCAAACACTCGCCTTTGAGCCATGCGTCTAGTGTCACTCGAGGCGTAGAGCCGTGAACCGGCAGAGCGCGACCCGATGCT